AATAACTAATTTCGAGTTTAATAATAAATTGTTACACACCTGGTAGAAGAGAAACCTTTTTAAATGATCGTGTTCAAAGTTCAAACCTGATAGGGCGATAGTTTGCATCATCATATATACAGCTTCCATTCTTCACTGATTAATTTGGCAACTCGTTAATTATTTGGCATTGTGGTGTTTCATCCTTTATGTCTAAAGCATACAAACAAACTATGGTTTAGTCATAATACAGTATGACCGCTTAAATAGGAACAAATGAATGCATGTCTTGGTATCATAGTTATGTCACTTTACAACAAGGATTATGACACAATATGGATTATGACACAATCTGGAGAACCCATGTGGAAACAGCCCGGTTTGGTTGTAACAATTAACTACTAGTATTCGCCAAAATAATTCGCTCGGAAGGCCATATCTGCTCAGGTCATTTGTTCAAGGGGAAGAGTGTGGCCTCACCAGTACAAAATACAAGACTAATTGCCAAAACCACAAGAATTCAATGCTAGAAGCACAGTCCATTTCACTGCATCAAGAACGTGTGAAAATATATCTCATGATACCACGTGTTCGCGAAAAGGCTACCCCATTGGTGGCACCTGTCACAATTCCTTACGTAAAACCAAGTCCATTGCTCATCCTAACATGCACGGGAACACATGCTTGGTACAATAGGTACACATATATTACTATCTTTTGTAGTGAGATCACTATCAAGGAAGTAAAAGCGTTAGTAACTTTCTCTTAAGAGTAGTAAGTAGCTAAACATTCTTCAATGACTTGTGTTTGACAACTAAAACCCTCAAAGTTAGAGTTGCAGGGTTGAAGTGCTAAGCGGAAACACAGTTATGTCCTTCATCTTGTATATTTCTAACAATTACCATTAATGATACATGTGCTTCAGGCAATGGAGTTCCGGGGATCCGAATGCACAACATCATTGTAAACAGTGTTACCAAGATAACAGCCAACAGCTTTGGCCATTTTTGAAAAGGCGTGGCATGAAGTTAAAATACCTGCCTTCAGTTTCACCTTGTTTAATATTTTATCTCAAAATATGAATCTCCTGATTGTTTTCAGTCTGTTGTGTAGGAAAACATCTTTCACTGCCATTTAGAAGCTGGTGTGACGAAGAGGAAGAATTTGTTATGGACAGACAGACAGGTTTTATTCAATAGTTGAGGCCTAATCGCCCAAACAACAATAGAAGTTGCTTAATGACAACTATGGGTCACGTGACATGAGATAATGTTTTCCACGTGATTTAAGAATGGACATCAAATGTTTTGTGAAAATGACTAGAGGTTTGATAATATCATCTATATTAGATTTAAGTAGATTATACATCGACGATGATTTTAAGGGGTGAGGGTGGGGGGTGTCACCCATTTTGCACACATGTCCTAGGGGGGTCAGCAATTTTGTACGAACAAATATGAAAAAAATATGCTAAAAGATTCTGGGGAAGGGGGGTAATTGATTTTGTACATGAAATGCATGGGTGTGGGGGTGTAACTTACTTTGTACATAAATTCTAGCCTTAAATTATGAACGGTCTCTAATGCTGCGTATTAGTTTGTTAGCATCTACACCTAGACTAACAATTAGTCTCTGAAATGAACATATTTTACTGAAAAAAAGTTCATAGTAAAAAAATATATATATATAATTAAAAGGAGCTCTGAGGCTTTCTTCATTTTCAGCCTGAAGCTGAGGAAATCTAGACTTACCACATTTTCTAGACTTGCGTGGGCTTTCTTGGAGGGTCTGTACGACAGACTAATCTACACCGAAACGTCGCAGTTAAGAAGTTGTCTATTCATAAAACATGTTCTTCTTTGCTAAACTGATAGTTGCCCTTTTCCTGTTGCCATCTTAAAAATATATGCTTAAACTAAAGACATTTATAGTAAAAATGGCTAGACATGAGAATCGGGAGCGTTCGAAAAGTGATTCACTCGTTGAGTATTCGGCCTCATACGGTCTGTCCCGACGGTAGCCGATATTGCCCGAATCCAAGGGGAATCCCCTAACTCTACGTCATCACGCATCGCCATAGTTTCCCGTCGAGTGTGAGAGCAATACTGACAAAGATGTAACAATCAAGAGTGAATAAGCGAAATGGGTAGGTACGAATAGCAATATATACGGTCTTAATGTTCTTATGTCAATATCTAAGCACAATATCGTTGGTTTTACGATCGAACATAATGTAGAACACCTGTTTCCGTCTTTGAATATTTAGGTAACCCATACAGTGTGACGGGCTTTTGCTTTCAGATCGAATTTGGTGACGTAAATGTAGAAATAAATGTAAATACATGGAACAGAAACATATCGAAAACACATGTATCGAAATTTGGGTACGTGTTTGATAATACGTTGGGATGTATAAATCCAGAGCCGTCTTCAATTATACAATTTCAGTGTACTATAACTCGCGTTCGGCAATGGTATCAGGACTACTACCGCAAAACTCATTGTGTCTGTCAAGAACGTATTTGGTATTTTAGTGCGTACTTGCCTTGTATTTATGTGTGGACACTTAAAAAATATGTCAATTTTGTGTGTATGCTTTAATTGTTTCTGTGCGTTTTTTTACTGTAAATAAAGTTGTTCACAATAGGTTGTCGTATTATATTTCCGAGATAAGTTGTAAAACGTATACTACAAGTGGTGGCCTATTTTTAACCTTAGTCACCCTTGAATACAATCACACAAGTTATGTAGGTCAGAACGTATCAGAAACACCCACAATTTAGTCACCAGCAAGTGGATACTTAGTCGTTTACTCTCTTACGAAAGGTTTTCTTTGCCAGATAAGGTTAAAATGAAATATCTACCTCGGAGAGTCAGTGTAAGTTCCCACCAGTCAGTCAATGGTGATTGAGGCATTGAAGGTATTGATATAGATCTATAGTACGTCTTGTAGCACTTTAACACACAGCCATATCATTATACTTCCTGTTTAGGCCATAATCAAACTGTTAACGCTCAACTAAAGATCAGCTGGTATCCATATTTTTTTGTGTATGTGTGAGAAACTGGTGTCCATTCTTAACTTTAAACATAATTCACTGTAAGTTGCGCTGAAGGGGTCGTTGTCGGCACGGGTACTACAGATGTGTACCCCAGGTACGTTTCTGTATACAGAAATGTACCCTAGCCAAAATCAGAATACAGAAACGTACCCTTGGACGATTCCATTCTGCATTGTGGAGTTTTCTTCATCGGAACGGTCATACCGTTGTATTAGATGCATTTGATATCGTTATATAAGAGCACACACACAGTAACGAATATGTCACGGTGCACAACGTACACCACTCGCAATCAGTTGAACGGGAACAACTACATATACGGTTTCGGTTTAGGGTACCGGGTACGTTTCTGTAGTTTGTCTTTGTTTAGGGTACATGTCTGTATACAGAAACGTACCTGGGGTACATATCTGTAGTACCTGTGCCAACAACGCCCCCTTCAGCGTAAGTTTCGTGAAAAAATCTTGTGAAAAACAATTTGTAGCATTATGATTTTATGTAATTAAAAACAGGAACATTGGTAATAGTGGAATGATATATGTCGACAGCTATTTCCTGTTTTAACTGGCTACTCAGTGTAAGTGGGTAGTTCATACCTGTAGATAATTATTTAATAATTTGTTCCATGTAGTACTGGTCACTGTCAAGTCTAATTTTTGGAATTGTTGTTTGTTGAGAATGAGAAATATGTTTGGTTTTGATAATATGTGACAATGATGTGCCCACTCATTTACGAAAACAAATACATAACTGAATGTGTTCACTGACAAAAATGTCTTGCTTATACATTTTCCTTATGAAAAGAAAAATATGACCTTTTCAAATACTGGCTTAATTGCAATGAAGAGTTTCATTTTGCTAACATTGAAGCTGGAACATATTTTTTGGTTTCAGTTATTTGAAACAGAGATGTTTTTAAGGTATGGTGAATGTTGATAAAAATATAGTAAATAAAGTATCATATATTCATAATTAGCTTATGCTTAGTAAACAGTGTCAGGGCTCCCGATGATGTTTGGAGCTGTTGAGTATTTACTCATATGTTATCATTCATTATCGGTGTTGATAGTCATCTTTTGGTGTTTCAACATTTTTCCTCTGTTGCGTGCAGTCTGTGAGCTTTTGGAAACCAAAGAGTAAATTTTGTTGAAAGCAATTTTACTCTATGGCATTTCAGGTAGAGATGTACCTTCTTATTAGCAAATGTTCGTGTGTTGCCTCAAGTGAGTTACATTGTATAACTTCATAACAGTGATACTTGTCTCAGTTACAATGAGTGAGATAATGCTTGTTTGTGCATTATTCGCCATATTAGGGTATGTACATATAAGTACTACTTATCTGCATCAGAGAGGAAACATTTATGAAGATATGTGTATGATGGGTGAAAAAGTTACTTGGGGTAGGAACAGTGTTCTCATATTGGTTTATTAAACATCATCTTTATATTCGTACCAAGGAAATAGCAAATTAAACTGGTGATTTAGTTTCTATCTTTTATGAAAATGTACAGATTATTGTGAGCCCTGCAATGCTAAAGCTCCGGAATTAGTGCAGTACTATGTTTTGACAAAACCAAAACAATGCTCATGCTTTTTGTTACAATAAAATCAGTTACATAAACTAACTTTTTCTTCATCATGTTAATGATTTATTATTTGTTTTTTTTCATACTAACTTATTAGAAACAAATGCCTTTATGAATTAATGTGATCTTTGTTGCCACTCAGAAATTTGACACACAGATAAGAAATGACACATTTAACGTTTTTATTTGAGAAAACTTAAATTATGTTTATTTTTAAGTTGTTCACAAACATCTTGTTTTCTTCAGACCAAGGTGAAGGATGGAGAACACAGACGATGATATCTACATTTTGTCCAGTATCCATGACACTCTCGACGGTAGTGTATCTGATCCTGGCAATCGTCTCCTACAACAGCCTCTTGACTTTGTGATATCCCGATCTCCGGGGCAGCAGGCCAGACCCCGCTGTCCAGGCATTGCAACAAGCATATTCTGAGCTCAAGAAACGCTTCAATGAAACAAAGCAGAGGAACGACCAGTTATCCCGAGCATTGCGTGACGTAGGTAAGGTGAGATCTGTGGAACCAAATATGTCGACGTACGGGGATACGCCTGATGAAATGTCGATCAGCGCACAAGGAGCTGCTGCAACAGCAGAACAAGTAGTTACGGACGACAATGTTAGAGCACGCTTGGGGTATGTCAAGTATCTGGAACGGGAGAAAGTGAACAACGAGTCTCGAATACAACAGTTAATTTCAATAAAAGGCTCATTTGAAGAAAGTTGCAGTGCTATGCAAAGGAAATATAAGGATGCTGTTTCCGAGCTGGAAAGAAAGGACATGGATTTGCAATGTGCTCGTGAAATTATTACCAAGTTGAAAGAAGACAAAATGCATCTTCGTGAAGAGCATGATTCCTATAGAAGACATGCATCAGACATTCAGGATAGCATGCAGAGCGCAGTGATTCAGACTAGCTTAGAAAAGCAGAACCGGGATATGGAAGATCTGCAGTTAAAATATAAAAATCTTGAAGCTGAATGTGATACTTTGAGGAAGGAGGGTGACCGATTGAAGGTCAGTGAAAACCTTGCCCAAACAGATTTACAGAGTGCCAAGGCAGAACTGCAGGAAGCCAAGGCAGAACTGCAGAACAGAGTCAGGAAAGCTAAACAGGAATTTGATGACCTGAGAACAAGAAACCGTGCCCTGGAGGAGGAACTGCTGGTTTCCAGAGAGTCTGATCTTCCTCCAGGGTCTTCCATGACAACTACAGATGAACTTGTGCACCTCAAGAAAGTCATCTCCGATCTCAGGAGAACTGTTATACAACAGAGGGAGTTCCTCAGCAAGCTAGGTAGGTACAGACAACTGTTGTGGATACATCAGCAAGCTAGGTAGGTACAGACAACTGTTGTGGATCCATCAGCAAGCTAGGTAGGTACAGACAACTGTTGTGGATACATCAGCAAGCTAGGTAGGTACAGACAATACATCAGCAAGCTGTTGTGGATACATCAGCAAGCTAGGTAGGTACAGACAATTGTTGTGGATACATCAGCAAGCTAGGTAGGTACAGACAATTGTTGTGGATACATCAGCAAGCTAGGTAGGTACAGACAACTGTTGTGGATACATCAGCAAGCTAGGTAGGTACAGACAACTGTTGTGGATACATCAGCAAGCTAGGTAGGTACAGACAATTGTTGTGGATACATCAGCAAGCTAGGTAGGTACAGACAATTGTTGTGGATACATCAGCAAGCTAGGTAGGTACAGACAACTGTTGTGGATACATCAGCAAGCTAGGTAGGTACAGACAATTGTTGTGGATACATCAGCAAGCTAGGTAGGTACAGACAACTGTTGTGGATACATCAGCAAGCTAGGTAGGTACAGACAATTGTTGTGGATACATCAGCAAGCTAGGTAGGTACAGACAATTGTTGTGGATACATCAGCAAGCTAGGTAGGTACAGACAATTGTTGTGGATACATCAGCAAGCTAGGTAGGTACAGACAATTGTTGTGGATACATCAGTGGTACAGACAATTGTTGTATACATCAGCAAGCTAGGTAGGTACAGACAATTGTTGTAGATACATCAGCAAGCTAGGTAGGTACAGACAATTGTTGTGGATACATCAGCAAGCTAGGTAGGTACAGACAACTGTTGTGTAGATACATCAGCAAGCTAGGTAGGTACAGACAATTGTTGTGGATACATCAGCAAGCTAGGTAGGTACAGACAATTGTTGTGGATACATCAGCAAGTAGGTATACAGACAATTGTTGTGGATACATCAAAGCTAGGTAGGTACAGACAATTGTTGTGGATACATCAGCAAGCTAGGTAGGTACAGACAATTGTTGTGGATACATCAGCAAGCTAGGTAGGTACAGACAATTGTTGTGGATACATCAGCAAGCTAGGTAGGTACAGACAATTGTTGTGGATACATCAGCAAGCTAGGTAGGTACAGACAGTTGTTGTGGATACATCAGCAAGCTAGGTAGGTACAGACAACATGTTGTTGTGGATACATCAGCAAGCTAGGTAGGTACAGACAATTGTTGTGGATACATCAGCAAGCTAGGTAGGTACAGACGGTTGTTGTGGATACATCAGCAAGCTAGGTAGGTACAGACAATTGTTGTGGATACATCAGCAAGCTAGGTAGGTATTCCACTGGTATGACAGCAGATAGTATACAATGTCTGTACAGATAATCCAGTGATTGATGTCATGAGCAGCAGGCCACAGGGTCAGATGACATGCAATCAACAAAGCCACTGAGTCTGACTATGTATTAACTAAGAGTTAGTCTCATAGAATCCCCCAGTGGAAGTGATCTCTGCAAAATATTTTAAAAAATGAAGCAGATGTAATCCCTGCAGATATTATGTATGTATCAGGGGGCATAGGTGGCCCAGTTGTTGATGAGTTGCCTCCCTTGGACATGCCAGAAACCTATGATTGTGGGTGTGAGTCCATGTTTGCCCTTATTGTGTTTCGATGTTTGTCAGCACCATACCCTGGGTTTCACCAAACAGATAATTTTCTGGGATCACTGCAGGTTTTCTACCCATATTAAGCTGACATGTTGTGAAAAACTTGAAAACTGTTCAAAGCAGCATTACAATGATTGCGAGTTTTTCACATTTTTTGTTTCAAGGCTTCTTATCCTGACAATACAGTTTAAGTGTTATGATATTATCTTTTTTTAATGTGTTGTAGTTTTATTGTTTTTCAATACTTGAATATTATTATAAGATTGAAAGGGCAGTTTGTGGCAGTTTCATAAAGAGATCATAGTTCTAGGACTACTACTTCATATACATCTTGCACTAGTTGTAGTGTCATGATACATTTTAACATTCTGCTGATGTGTTGAATGAAAAATATCTCAATATTTATGTGTTCTGAAACTGTATGAGAGCGTTGGAGGGTAGCCTTATTGTGTATTATAGTAATTGTTACCTGACTTTTAAGGTACTTTGAACTGCAAAATAATTTATGGTAAAATGCTTATCTTTCAGGCAAAACAAGTGGCATGGTTAGTGCAAGGACTGAACCTAATATAGGTGTTCCGAAACGAACACTAAATGAAGAAAATGGTCTTGGTCCAAGTTGGGAGAATGTTCCGACCAACCCCCAGGTGACCCAGACTGGGCTGTACGAGAAAGATGGGGACCGCTTATCTCCTCGAAGAATGCAAGGAGCAGCAACTCGGCTGTCTGATGGAGTCCTTTGGAATTCTCCACAAAGGAGGTCGAGTAGTTCACATGGCACCACACCACAGATGTCTGTATCAAATCAGGAACATTCAAGGTCAGAGGTTCTCAGGAGAAGAACACCAGACAATTCTCTCAGTAGTCCCCGAAGCAAATCAGAGGTAATTGTGAGGTCAGGTGATACACTGGGAAATGTGAGAGAATCCTCACCATTCTCAGAAACTCAGTGGCGGATTAACGGAGCTCATGTCCAACCTGAGAGTAGCTATGAAAATATTAACCCAAACATGCGACGAAATTACCAGACAGTTGTAGGGGAAGATTTTAGGCTAGTTCAAGACAAAACTCCAGCTTTCCCTGTCCCTCCGGAACTGAGGACGAACGTGGCTTATCCTGGTAATGAAGCATCACCTAACAACAACAGAACACAGACCAGTCAGGTGCAAGGAAATCAGACAGAGTCAACAGAGAAGATATGTCCTGTTTGCTCCAGAGACTTTGCATCAATGCCAATGGAGGACTTCCAGACACATGTGTTTGAATGTTTTGATGACTCCAGCGCACCAGAAACTCTCCGACCTGGGCAGATAGAAAGGATATGCCCTATGTGCAATGCCCTTTACCCTGAAACCGTACCGCAGGAAGAATTTGAAAGACATGTTCAGACTCATTTTGAGCAGGAAATAACAGACAGATTTGAGATATTAGATCCATGAAAATGGCAGTATTCACGTCACATTTACTACAAAAAGTGTGTTTTAGTGTTTATAAATATACGAAGGCTTAAACTTGTTTTAGAGATAGGTGTGTACTTTCCAGTGTTTGAAAATATGCTTGAAAGTCAGGATGCGTCAGTCATAACATAAATTACAGAGTTAGGGTCCCAAGATAGAGATAGTAAGCAGTCCTTGATCAAAGTTTGCTGAACGTCTGCCTGAATTAGGGGTTATCTCCCAATTGACAGACACCCATTTGACAGACAGCCAGTTGACGACACTGAACTGGAAGGTTAATTAGGGTAACACCTACGGGTATAATGGAACAGTCCACTGTTCAGTGAGTAGAGTAGGGTGAGCCTGAAAGAGGTTCGTTACTGAGAAGTTTGATTGTGTGTAAATAGAACTTTGTTGTGATTAAATGATAATCTCTCTTCTCTTCTCAAAATGAATTTACTATCAATTATTATTGAATATAAAAACAGGTTTGTCAATGAGAGGTTTGATTCTTTTATTGATTAAAACATTTTGTGCATTCAAGAAAAGGTTTGGGCACAACTTATCCAACTAAGAAAAGCCCTCTCCCCAAAATAGGATAATGTTAAGTTAACTTAGGCACTTTTTGTTTGAGACATATATACTGTATAGATAAATGGCAGAGAGATATGGACATATTTGAGGACATTCTGCTTTTCAGTTAAAGAGAGACCTGCATTGCCATGAAAGATAAGATTAAGACCAGTCAATGTTTTAATTTTAACAATACTTTCTAAAGATTTTAACAGTTTACTTTGGTTAGTAAACAATGGACATTCAAGGAAGTAATGAAAAACATTCTCACATCCATGGCCACATTGACATAATGCGTCACTTTTTATATTTATTCTAAATAAATCATAATTAACTGTACTTGTCATATATATCGTAATCTTGAGTGCAAAACATTTAACTTCTTTATTCCATATGAATAATATTTAGGTGCACACTTTTCTTTCACCTGGATATGAGATTCAAATGATGCAACAGAGTTGCAATTCCTAATAGCTATCGGATTATTATTCCATATTTTAACTGCTGATGGAATAAAAGATGATGTTGAGTACCTCAGTCTTGTACATGGTTGGCTAAAATTATTGGAGTTTCATTATTCATAACTTATCTGGTTTCCTCCTACAGGTGGGAGTAAATCCTGAAGAAAAACTGGTGGTGTTCTGTTCAGTCGGAACTTTAATTTCTGAAATGCTCCAATCATTTTAGATGTCATTTTGACAATGTTTTCAATATGATGATCCCAACTCCCGTTAGACGAGCAGGTTAAAGCAGAATGTTTATGAAAATCAAGTTGTTGTTTTTTTGTTGTTTTTGCAGCAGCAGCATTCAAAATTCAAATGTCTTTTTGGCAATCTTTCTTCTTGCGTTCTTATTTGGACTATTCCATTATAATGTGTAGGTAACAGGTAGTAGCTAATCTGTTCATTGAACCGTAAATGTTGTTGTTTTAAGGCGTCTGCGAACTGCCTGTCTGCGTAATGGGAGGACACCGAATTAGGCTTCCATGGCTGTAGGTTTTTGTTCAAGATTCCACATTATGACTGGATGTAATCCTTCCATACTCTTGTAGCTTATTTGAATTTCAAAGTCACTGAATGTGTTATAGCTCTGGATAATAATATTGAGTATTACATCAACAGCCTTATAGATCATGTTATTATATGTTGGTACTAATTATTCTTAATCCTGTCTATCATATCGAGTGTAACCATGGTAACCGACTGGTCTGTTTTGTCATTACTCTTAACTAGTACATACATTGCTTTAGGGCATGGAGAAAGAAGTTAGTGAAGCATGTGATTACTTGTGTAAACAGTTCCCTAGTTCATTATTGTTCTTGAAACAGTATATCTTTTTTATTAATCATGGAAATCATCAATATTTAACAAAGATTAAATGAGCTTTGTCCAGATTGTGACCATGGTGTATTAGCACCTGAGCCATGCTTATGGATTTCACAAGATTGTAAACTTCTATAAACTGATTGCTTTATTCCACATCAAACTGTCATGATGTAAGTCAGTGTTTGGTCATCACACTGTTGGCCTGGGTTCAGACCCCACACAGGTACAATGTGTGAAGATGTTTTCTGGTGTCACATGCTAGCATATTGCTGGAATATGCCAAAAAAGCAGTAAAAATGTATTCACTCAGTGTTCAAACTGGCATTTTCCCCCACTTCTGTCTCTCATGGGGCAGTGGGGTAGCCTGATGGTTAACAAGTCACACTTGTCACGCTGAAGACCCGGGTTCGACTCCCCACATGTGTGAAGCCCCACATGTGTGAAGCCCATTGTGTGAAGCCCATTGTTGGTGTCCCTTGCCGTGATATTGCTGGAATGTTGTTAAAAGCGGCGTGCTCACTCACCCACTCTCTCTCTCTCTCTCTGTGACAAGTTTGTGGTCCATTCATTGTAAGTTAAACAGTGATGAGAGTAGAAAGTGTGGTGCTGTGTTTGTATGACAATTACAGTGTGACAGATTTCCTTGAAGAACACAGAGAATCATCTCAAGTCAGCCCTCCTTCCATTGCCTACAGGGTTGTGTGCATGCTATCTGTCGATAACCCTCAACCAGCAATAATTAATCAAAATAATGACTCCCTGTCAAAATAATGAATATGATAAAGGCAAGATCATTATTTGTAGGTTTTGCCCCAGTAGTATTTGTCATGTTTGGGATACTACAACAGAAGCAATTTTGAAATAAACCTTTTCTTAATAACCTGCTCCATGGTCTGAAACCAATAATATGGTAGTTTTGGCCTTTTCATAAAACAATGGCTGTAATGGGAATTAGTTTTTATTTGTCTTTGAAATGTTACATATCACAACAATATAAGATGGTGTGCAAAAGAGCCTCATCCAGAATAGGACTTTAGTCATCTGATATTCCAACTCTCATTGAAATCATCAGCTGATGTGTCAGAGTCTGGTTCAGTTAGTGACTATTGTATTAGCTCCCACCTCTCCTCAGTAATCATCTCTTACAACCATCACCGATCAGTATCCCCTACATCGATCATTCATCCATTATAGCAATGATGGCTACAGTGGTTTTTTTCCCAGTGGGGTGTCACAGCCTCGTCATTGTACTATGAGAAAGTCCATTATAGCTATGAAGATAATTGTCCACACAAATCATTTAGTTTATAATGAAGCATATGACTTTATGGATAACAACTTCTTCTTTATTACATAGAGCAATGTTTCGGTGTAAATTCTGACACTGTTTTCAAGCTATACGACTTTATGGATAGCAACTTCTTGTTTATTGTATAGAGCGACATTTAAGTGTAACTTCTAACACCGTTTTCAAGCTAAACATCGCTCTGTGCAATAAGCAAGCAGTTGTTATCCATATTGAGTCATATGCCTCATTATTGACTCACCAACTTAATGCTGATTAAACAATTAGTTGAGTTTGTAGAAAGGACTAGATGTTTTCATAGATTGTCATGGAGGGAACTACCTTCTTCATGAATGGAACACTCTACAGCCTGCTGTATCCATTCATAGTAAGGTCCTTGCTGTCAGCACCTATCGTAGTCATGCACGCCGTATCTCCACCAACTGTAACACTTCCTATTTTCAAATGATCGTACAAAGTTGTTTATATTCACAGTTTCTGTGTTGAATCAAGTTTTCCATCAGTGTACAATGCCGCTTAAAGAAGTTTGTGTGCAATGGCTTATAAGACTTGAAGAATTATAAAAAGGGGATCATTTTGTGGATGTCAACTTCTGCAATAGGAGGTACATGACATTCCAAAATGTCAGGTTCCTTGTATGACTGATGTTGACATTCATAACCCATCCCGCTTTTTGTGTATCACTTCTAAGAGAGATTCAAAGCATTCTTAATGATTAACATTAGTCGTTTATGTGACTTCCCTTGATAGGCACACTTTTTATGGTTGTTACTTGACAAATGCTTGCCAACTAGATGGAGTATAAAAACTATACCCGGTACACATTTGTTTTGTTCAGTCAGATTTTTCTATTTTAATTGGATTGAAGTTGTTTTAATCTTGAGGTTTTGTGGCAAGAAACAAGTACATGCATTTAAAGTACAGTGAGTTTAGAATTACTGCTACCATGTTACTGAAACAAAGCATTCAAATAGTTTACAAAGTTTATACCCAGCTCGATTTTGTAGGATATAGTAACATTTTTTATCAATCTGTCTAATCTGTAAACAACCTTTATTTCTATAAAATGTAGATGTTCAACATTTATTGATTGGCATCCATGTCAGACGATATACCAAGAACATAACCTACTGAAGTTGTGTTTTAAAAACATAGTTAATGAATTAAGAATTGTGATGAGTTTGTTCACTGACAGATGCCAGTAGAACATGTTTTGTATTAAATATTTCTACCTAAAGTAAACACTTTCTCAAAGTAACAGCTGTATTTGCAGTGTTCTTTATGAGCAAATATGAACCATTTGATGTATATCTTTCCGTAATGTATAAGGAGACTTTCTACAGTTAAGAAGAATTTCAACAGCAATATATAAATTATATGATTAATCTGCCATGTACATTTGATTTTTCTGAGGGATGAATAACCTAATGACAACTGAATACCTGTCTACACTGAAACTATTCTATAGGATACCTTCTATAGTACTGGTACAGTGTATGAAGCACCTTGACAGGGACACTGTGTAATTACTGCTCACTGTTATTGTACATGTGTATAGTTCGCTCAGATCCAAATTACTCACTGAAAATTGTGTAATTAGATCATCATGTAAATAGTTATTAATTGTGTTTTATTTACATATTATGTGTGTGTATATACTTGTCAAAAGTTAGTTCAAGATTATTTGCTTGTCTGCTTTACACAATCTACAAAATGTAAGTGTTGGAAAGTAAGATTTACCTTTACAGAAGGACTACAATAATCAGTTAAATAAAATTCTTTGAGTGGTTGAGGTGTAATATGTCATATCAGGGATGCAATTTAACCTGATTCATTTAACAGAAAAGTAATACATCTTTTAAACTATTGGAAATCTTGTCCTCCGATACGTTTACAACAAACTCAGGAGAGGGGCGTGTGGCAGTTGGTGTTCTGTTATGTAGTGTGGTGGTATTGGTGTGTTCGACCTGTTGAAGGGCAACATGAGACAAAACATGGTATGGGGAATTTAGAAATACAATAAAATGTGATTGTATTTTCCAGTTACAATATATACTGGACAAAATAAGTTAGGGATATTGGTATTTTTAATATTGATATTGTATAAGTGTGTAAGTGAATAAATAGATCAGTATTCATAATTTCAAAATTTACATATATCCTAACTATTTTGGTCCAGTATAGTACTGCTCAGAAACCTGGTTTATAGATAAAAACAGGTTAATAGTGTTTGCCCTGTGACAACCTTAACTGTTCATCAAGCTGATCACTCACCATGTTCTGAGATCTACATGTGTATCAGTGGTGATTCAGGGATACCAACAACGTCTTACTTCCCCAATTGTTTACATATTTTCTTCACAGACAAATAGGGTACTAATGTCTTAGATAGCTGTCAAATTGTTTCACCCAAAAATATTGACCTCAGAAGTGAAAATGGCTTGTAAAAAAACCCAGAGCAATGTCAACATCTGGTGAAAATTATGTCTTGGATTCAATAGTCATGGCAGACTGAATATGACACTGTTATTTCACACAGTTGGCCAGGGTTTCCTGCTCAGAGGTACATTGGGGATAAGTGTCATTACAGAAACAGGAATGACAAAGCTCTTTACCAGTATTAAAAACTTAAAATAAAGTTATCTTTCTTGAATTAGTGTTTCAATCTTTCATCCTGGAAATTAGCTGAAGGGATAAGTGGGAACTGCTCCTTTTTACTCCTCACAACCTGCAATTATTCTGGTTCCCAATGCCTCCACACGGTGGTGAGAATGCACATCCTACAAGCTGTTAACCTTTTACTTTGATCTAGCCACAGCTTAGCAACGCTAGATGTATGCATGTTTGCCATGTTAGAAGTGAATGTGGGAATAACATTTTTCAGCAGCTATTGTCCATGTATTTTTGCACAATTTACTGACGATTTGGGTCACTGCAAATAATTGCTGTATTCCAGGAACCTTCAAGATCTTGTACCTGAAGGGGATACAATCTTTCAGAACAACCTTTTCAAAACACTACTTTCTAAGATAGTTAATAAGTGTCGACTAGACAGTACTAGAGCTCCACTACACATAAAAAAGTGTCTTATGTAAATTAACAGAACCGATCCTTCTTATTTACAGACCTTTCGGTAAGGTGTGGATGCTAGTGACTCATCCCAGGCTGTCGGAGGCCAGATGTTGCAATATACACATCAACACCCAACCTTTTCCATGTAATAGTGTGAGTTGGACTTGTATATTTTTTATAACCTCAGTTCATGGAGAATGGAAAGGTTGGCAAAAACACTTTTAATTTTAATTTATAATTTATAGGAGATCTATGAGAGATATAAATGTTGGATTTCAGAGAGATTTCTTTGAAAGCAGTATCAACGTTGGTTGGAATACAACCTGTTCTGTCCAATGTTTACCAAATCCTATTTCCGCCTGTCAGGTGATTAGTTGTAATTGCCTTTGCTCGTTATACGTGATATTCCTGTAATTTATGTATCAAGGCGATATATAAATAAAGTCATTAACATGATTTGTTTGTTCTTGTTATAAATGACACCTCAAGAAGCAGGTGCACGACTGACACATAGTTATTGGATGGATAATTCTCTACGTTTCCAAATATCTCAAGTCTGGGAGATAAGAACGTTTTTAAATGACTATCATTTTCTAACATATCGTCCCAAGAGGATCCGAAACAACATGCTTCCATTATGTCTTTGTCAAAACTGTCGACTCACAAAACGAGTACCAGGTGGTGAAAAATGTGACATTGCTGACGGGTCAAGATTGATTAAGTAGTACGTTCCCGTTATCTTAGATGTAATATTGCTGAATGTGGTTGTTCGTCTTCAGCTGAAAGCGTCTGGCGAAAGGCTGAAACCCAAATGAGTGATAGACAATATCCAATACAACGGAGACCATATAACAAACCCTTCATTGTAGCAAGGATAACACCGTATAATAAACCCTTTATTGTATGGTCGAGCTGAATACAATACACACCTATGTCACCGATGCCTCGCGAACAATGTGTGGTGTGACTGCAGGTGTGAAGCAACATTGACGTCATAGTATGTGAAAGTAAGTCTTTACTCTTGAGAGCTTTGATGTTCTCTGAATTACCATTACTCACGTTTCATTCAGGGATAGTTTCTCATTTGGGTTTGGCTTGAGTTAATTATCTCCATGTAAATATCCTTTCTCGAGACACCGTGTGAATATAGCAATGCATCTGATTGGTCCGTAACTGCATTGCTCACACTTTCCCAGCCTTCACCACTCGGATTCCCACAGTATATAACGTTTTTGGGAGCATGAAGATGACATTCTGATCGTACCTAGAAATTGGCAGTGAATGTTACGCAGTCGGAAATGGTTAAGCTTTATCACACCACTTGTGAATTTCAGGGGTGAGTGTGTCAGGCAAATCAGAGGGTTATGGTTTATAGTCTCCCTGGGTTTAGCAATGATTCACTTTGTCTGGGTATGATGTGCCATACACCATCGCTATCTACAGTAGTTGGCCATATTAAGTGAGTCATCATTAGTGAAATTCCATAGACTTGCATGTTAGTTAACTCTTTAGTTTCGGTCGAATTGCTTTCAATGCTTATCTGCCAGCTGGGAAATCATCTCAGCTACATACACATAATTTCCATTCAATTTTCCTATGATTATTTGTGAAGCCTATTTCTGGTGTCCCCCGCCGTGATGTTGCTGGAATATTGCTAAAAGCGGCGTAAAACCAAACTCAGTCAGTCAGTCCTATGATTATTAAGAAAACTCCAACTATTTAAACAACATATATTAGACATACCAATTAGGTTTAACATGACTGTCTATGGGATAGATTAAAATTAAGTGGAAAGATGAAAGAAAATTATGTACACGTATAGCTGAAGATGATTTCCAAGATGTTTGCAGAATATTAAAATAAAATGACTTCTACTAAATTTATGTAAATTATTCTTGCTACAGTTAATTAACATATAAGTCTATGGAAATTCACTAATGATGACTCACCTATGGCCAACTACTGTAGGCCCTGGTTACATATTGTGTCCATCTATCCTCATTGTGGACACAGTCCGAATGCTGTCTCCTAATGGGTTTGACATTTTGGTAATGAGTTCGTTTTCCATCACGTGAAGTAACAAGTGAAATAAATCTAATAAAAACAGTCACATCCTTCTAGGCGTATCATGTATCATTCGTCACTACTCGTACCTTTCCGTAACGGCTTCTCCCGGAATAACACGAGTTCGCGATGATGCTATAAAGGCTAACATCGAATTCTTGCGGCTGCGAATACCCCGCCTACTCAATTTACTCATGGCCGTTCAAGACGTTCTTTGCAGAGAACACAGAGAACAAACAACAAGTCACAAATCTAAAATATATTATAGCATACAATAGTATCCACCACAACCTATATAATAAGTTTCCAAACATATACAATTTTAAATAAAGTTATATGTCTGGTAGTAGGTTTTGAATCCTAAAAATCTTCCAAATTCAGAAATACATAAAGCTAAATTTTCTTAAAATGATGACCGAACATATCGATGTCGTGTTTACATACACAAACAGATGTAACTATACGAATATACGTTTTTGACCCCGACGGGTTGAAATTCCTAAACGGAACAAGGAATTGCGCATACTGGTCAGGAAACGTCTTGTGCGACTTGGGGTGGAGTTTTTACTACTTTCGGTGTTTTTGCTAGGTGTCACGACCCCGGTTGAAGGCTGGATGACGGCCTCCGATGTGGTGGTCACGCGCCCACTCTTCTTCACTGGAAGTAAGAATACACTTAGTCTATGTCTTTCTAGCAAAACATATGGTTGTATTTGTGTCTAGATCCTGAGTATAGAGAGACCAGGAAGATCGTTAAGCTCCCATTGAAATAATAATTTAAAAAATATGTAACAAAATAATAATTGTGGCTTATCTGGGTTCCGTTTTATGTTAAATTCCGTAGGCTTCCAATTTTTAGGTTCCAACTTACTTTGAAACATATCCAGGAAACATCTTCCGGGAGAAGGTTTCTTAGTGGGTCGATTCAGCTGTTCTGGTGTTATTGCTTTGCATCGGTGAAGTGTCAGATGTTTCTAAGAATGCAGAAAAAATAGACCATTTCAAAGAGGTATGTCGTACCTTATAAAGAGTTATACCTGTACAACATATCTGCATCACAAAAAGTTCATGAATCGAAGATAACGCTAACGTACTGGTTACAGCACCTATTTCAACGTCTACCATTTACAACCAATTCTGGAATACGAATGGTGGTTCATAGAGCGAAATGGGGAAATTCTGAATGAAGACTGCCGTTGGTTACCTTTTTGCAATTTTCTACACTTCTGATACTTTTGTCTACAGCCTCAAAATTCTCCGACCATGTGCTATGTTGAGGTATGGCTTCCATCACAAAGCTGATGACAGAGTCGTCTACCCCTTCCCCAAATGAATTTGTCAGACGGTGGTAAACATAGCTGAAGTCGGCATCAACTGGTCTGTCAATACTCGGATGGTTTATCCTCTGAAAGGCTTCAGACACAGCTGAATTCTTGCAATTCGGAGTCAGTGGCTTCTCCGTCGTTTGTATGGGGTTGGAGTGGCTGACGGCTCCGGTATTTCCTGCAGTGGCTACCTTATGGATGGATGTATTTTTGACAACCTGTTCGTCTCCGCAAATTTTGTTGAGGATATTCAACACAAATTCAGCTGCAAAAACATCCAATGTATCCTGATTATATTCATTTATTGTTTCTTGTGCAATCTCCTTTCCTTGTTTGGCTCGGTCCAGAGCATCTGAAACAATTTCAGCAGCGAACACATTCAACATATTCTCATCGTTTAGACGCTTGGCGGAGTAACTATCTCTGACTTGTTCCCTCACAATGTTATCAATGACACCGGAAACAAATTCAGAAGTAAATTTGTCTAAGTTATCCCCAGTAGGCATTTCGTCTGCAGTTTGCTGACTGTTCTTGTAGCAATCTTCAGTTGAAATATCCGTCGAATAGTTCATGCCAACATTTCGTTTCCCGTTATCCTGTTTCTCAATGACTTGGGAAGCAGTTGTGGTGTCAAAAATATTCAGTCTGTCTTCCCCACGATCAGGATCCTCTCGGATCTCTTTGCAAATCTTTTCTAATGAACGAGCTACTAGATCACTGACAAACTCCTCTTCCTGGGCAAGAATAGCGGCTTCAGCCTGAGCAACGATCCAGCCAACAAACCTCTTCACACAACAGTCGTCAGGTGTAGGGGTAGGGTTAGGGTTAGGGTTAGGGTTAGGGTTAGGGTTAGGGTTAGGGTTAGGGTTAGGGTTAGGGTTAGGGTTAGGGTTAGGGTTAGGGTTAGGGTTAGGGTTAGGGTTAGGGTTAGGGTTAGGGTTAGGGTTAGGGTTAGGGTTAGGGTTAGGGTTAGGGTTAGGGTTAGGGTTAGGGTTAGGGTTAGGGTTAGGGTTAGGGTTAGGGTTAGGGTTAGGGTTAGGGTTAGGGTTAGGGTTAGGGTTAGGGTTAGGGTTAGGGTTAGGGTTAGGGTTAGGGTTAGGGTTAGGGTTAGGGTTAGGGTTAGGGTTAGGGTTAGGGTTAGGGTTAGGGTTAGGGTTAGGGTTAGGGTTAGGGTTAGGGTTAGGGTTAGGGTTAGGGTTAGGGTTAGGGTTAGGGTTAGGGTTAGGGTTAGGGTTAGGGTTAGGGTTAGGGTTAGGGTTAGGGTTAGGGTTAGGGTTAGGGTTAGGGTTAGGGTTAGGGTTAGGGTTAGGTTTAGGGTTAGGGTTAGGGTTAGGGTTAGGGTAAGGTTTAGGGTTTCTTGTTAGGGTTCGGGTTAGGGTTAGGGTTAGGGTGACGTGACATTAAACAATATGGTTGGTAAGTATCCGGTATTCTGTAAGTGTACCGGGACCATTTTTATTGAAAGCATAATACTATATCTTTCTAGGTGTCTGTTCTGTTAGCAAACTCTACACATGACAGGCCGAGTGTGTGAGTTGTTTTGTATAGGCAGAAAGTAACAATATCAAAAAAGATTATAGATAGTTTACTATTTGCCGAGTAATAAAATAGCAATGCCACTTTTCGCACCCCATGGAGGTACAACATGGGGCCTTAGATTTCTCTACAACGACGCCTTCATCTGTTGGCATCCTTCAAGAGGAGGTAACTGCACAGCAAAACAAAAGTACAAAGATGTCGTATACAAAAGAATCTATGTTTTCGGCGTTTGTGTCTATCATGTTGGAGGTTTTGACACGATACACACAGATCGATGAATTAGTCTACTTCACACACCGCCAGTTTGGTATAGCTTGTGTTAATTACTTAGCGACATTTACATGTGGCTACTTACACTCTTGTGCTGCATCACTCACACAGTCATCAGTGTAACGGTTATCTTGTCGCAGAAAAAGTCTGACGCTTCGAACTTCCCGGTAGTAGAACACTAACAACAGCTGTGTAGTGAAGGGTAACGTCACTGACCAATCGCTTGGCGTTATGATAAGGTAGATAACTCTGACGTCGCGTAAAGTTGCTGACCAGTGTCAGAGTTATATCTGTTTCGTCTAGATCAAGATTCTCTCTGTTTTAATCAATTTAACATTCTGTCTGTGTTAACCATGTTCAATAGTAATCGACACAGTGATTTCCATTTGAGAGTCTCGGAGTAAAACACTCGATGGATTCAGGATTCCGGGGAGGGATGTGGGTGTTGTGATGGAAATTTTCACGTCACAGATGGATCAAGGATATTCATGCGACTAAACACGATAACGTCACAGGGAACAACAGAAATTTTGATTAACACATATTGGGAAACAAACCCGGGTTGTCGGACCGACAAGCAAACACCTTAGACACAAGACCACCGCACCACCTTACTTGAATCGTAAACAGAATGCAGATATCATGCATGCACTGAATACCCCTAGCGGCAGCTAACTACATATTGTCGACTCAGATAGATGTACTTGTATATCAAGTCGTTCTTGGGTCATTTACTATAATTCACCCCATCCTTCTGACAATACTATTACATCCACACAAACGTGTGTGCTCTACATTTATTTATGTTTTAATAGCGTGAGAGAATTTTGCCGACTTTTTAGATGATATTATATATTTCTCACACATGTATATACATATAAATATAGTACATAGGATTCCATGACATTTGCTGTCCTTTCCACGTAAAGCTAATAAAACCGGTCGCGCCTACTAGAAGTTAGACAGAGACCAGATGCATACTTTACAAAACCTTGGAAGGAAAAAACCCCGAGTCAACTGTTGTATCATTTACTCACTGAACGAAGTTTCGGGAAGAAAACCGTATCACCAAAACGGCGTTAACTGATCCGACTTGGAAGAAGTGATGTTCATTGAACGTGAACCAGGCCATAGCTTACATATTTTATGTGCGCTTCTTCTTTCCACTGAAACTCACTGTTCAAGCAAAGTGAACGAATATTTGCAGTAACTTCAAAGGTTCGCTGTTCTTTTTTCAAATACCACACTGGGAATATTTAAGCTGTAATTAATAGAGTCTAGACCAGACAATCCAGTGATTGTCGTAATGAGAATCGATCTTCGCAATTAGGATTGAGGTCGCTGAGACTATGTAAAATACCACATCCATTTAGTCGCCTCTCAAACAAGCGTAGGCTGCTGGCACCCAAAATAGTGTACTCTTAGACCAAACTGCGTCTGAGTTATAAATATGCTTTCTAAAACAGCTGTGTGAATGTCAACAATTCACCTATGTTTCTTGATTTCTTCTGGGATTTGTTTTCATATTTATGAAATTCGCAACGGAAGTGAGACGGGACCAGACACAGTGACCACCTGCACATGTAGAATACTGTCGCACTAGCTACTGTGGACTATCTTCAGCTGATCAGCATCCAGTACAGCTGATGCGTGAGGGTGTGATTACGTGTGATTGGAAAACCAAAATCGATTGATTTTAGAGGAGAAAAAGACTATTTTTGCAACATTGTTCAAGACAGGTTGAGTGCAAATTGGGATGCATTAAAGGCATATAAAAAATCAAAATGAATTATCTTCTTAAGGTGGGACAAACACTCCAAAGTTCAGCGTATCTATAGTTAGGCATGAAATGCATGTGGACCCGTTTTTTCGTAAATATCTCTTCATCCAATGACCCAATCGATCTCAAACTGTGCAAGTGGATGTTTTGTCAGACAACCTAATCACATTGTAAATCGCCGAGTTTATGCATTTGTATTAAAGAATCTATCTATGTAACTGTCAACAAAATAAACAGCAGAACGCAGACGGCTTGCAGAGGGAGAGAGCCAATAACCTGTAACAGCGGCAGTGTTGGGTCATAAAGGTCATATACACTGCTTGCACCTATTTCATTATATTCCAATACAACTTCAGGTGCAGAAACATGGAACCGTTCCAGGACCACCTTTTTCCGTTTTGTTTCATTGTCGACAATGTATCTAATGTGTCAGCTTTTTAAGTTTCAGTACACTAAATGGAATGGATATTACTACAGGTACCGCCTCCAAATTTGAGGTTCATCGTGATGCATGGTAATCTCAGTATATGGTTACCACTTTCCTTGAGATTCCTTGTCAGAATAAGTTACCAAACATTCGGTTGCCATCCTTTTCATTTGCCTCCTAATTAACATAAGGGGGTGGACTTCGCAAAACGGCTGCTGGAGCGTCTATTGAAGAATCATCAAGAAGTGTGTAGCTTCAGAAATACTGCTTTGGGTATTGGAGGTGGGGTAAGATCTCGGTCACGGAGATGAGGTGCCCACACATGTACGACCGAGTCCGAGACGCGGCTGAGGCAATAAACAGCTGTCCTGCTCTCTGGGCAGATGGTCAATCAGCTACAAAATGGAGGCTGTCTGCCCAGTGTTTGAGTATTTTAAGGTTCACTTGAGTTTAGATTTCCGTCGCTCAGAACTGTTTGTCAACAAAGAAAGCACACAAAGGTATTCATGCTCTTAGCATTACTGCCCCTCACAGATAACATTTAAGAAATTTGAATTTGAGCGAGTGCAGTGGATGATTTGAGACTATGTTGTCCACAATGTCCTCATCCTCAATAATCTCCAGGGTGTAAGTTCCGACAAATCTCCACTAGGTGTCCTCGATAATCTCCAGGGTATACTTCCGATAAATCTCCACTAAGGTCCTCGATATACCCTGGAGCTTATCGAGGATGCAAGGTCCCATGTCTGAGCCCTATGATAAGGATGTCCACCCATGGTGTACCATGGGTTGTCATGCTGGCTAACCTGGACGATATGGGCGATTGTGTAACCTTGTTTGACTTCAGTCATATCAAACACCCGATTGTTGGACTCATATTTCGAATAAAAGGGTGGTGTGTTAATTAACAAATATATTTACACTAAAAGTGAGTAAGATGATTTCATTCTAGAACACAGAATAAAGTAACATCAAACATTTCAACTTTCAATATTTTTATTCTAGCTCATGTGGTACATGAACAGTATGTACAAATTTTCCAAGCTATAAACTCCGTCTTTAAACCATAAACAATGAATAACCCTATAAAGTGTTTGTGGAGATGTCCAATTTGTGCGTTGGACGAGCCATAGTGACTCTATCATCTGCTTCATACAGACAATGAGATTGCAATAGTTTCAAAAATTAACATATGGGAGATTTATCACTTCTGAGATTACAACTAAGAGGAAACTTTCTGTTGAATAAGAGATTTCTGTAGAATTATGGAGCAAATCAAATGATTCTATTCTTTTACACAAACACACAAAACACATTCAGGCAATTATCTTAGTCGAGACTTGGTCTTTCCTTGGGGTACGTTTCCTTGCTGTAGTCTCTGAGTGGGGAGTAAAACTGAAAGCAAAAACACTGATTAAATATCATATACGAAACATAATTAAAAAAATGTTGGACTTTGTACAGGCCTATAAATTAACTTGCTTTTCTACAGTGCAAAAACTGCAAAGTTAGGTTAATTGACAAAATGTAATTTTTAGATTAAAATTGATATTTTATACTTATCCTGACTCATGCTTAATTGAGCATGAGTCAGGATAAGGAAAAATAAGATATATTGTGCACCATGTTGACACAGAACATTACTGTGATACTGTTTGATGCTTCATTGACTTTGCTCACCTTGTACTGCCTGCGTTCATATTGCTGCCATGGTTGGGGATTGTTCTTCCTGTCCCAGCTAAACACAAAAATTTTTGTTACTACAGGATTGAGGATGTGGGTAGCTACTGATATTAATGTGCCCAAATGCAAGCTCACTGACATCGACCAGGCCTTAACCTCTACACTGCTCAACCAGACAAACAATACTTGATCTGACATAATAAACACACTGTCAACAATATTTTCAACTGGTAGTTGATTTTACAGTATCAATGAAATCAGACATGCAAGGGTTTACTTTCAACAGAGCCAATTAGACTTAGAGAGTATCATTCAATGTTTTAACGTAATGTAAAAACAACCATTACGATAGCGATAGTCTATTGCAACCAACTATTGCAAAAGCTTTTTTCACCTTGAATTGTCTCATTTGAAGTCATTTCCCAAATGAATGTATAGTTGATGTGACATGAAAACAAGCTGAAGTAGTTTCAGTCAGATATGAATGGAAGTCAACTACTAAACTATCGATAGTCACACATACTATCGATGCATCGTTTTCGTTTCCACCATCGATTAATTGTTATCGGAGACTCAACAATTGCAATCCATCGATAGTTTGATGCATCGTCACAGCCCTATTGGCTACTGTCCATTTTCTATGAATGTTTATCCCAAATGACACCTTTAAATAATATACCATGATATACCATCACTGTTTGAAATAAGGCATAGAAGCAGACAAAGACAATAAAGACACAAGAACAAATGGGTCCTGAGACATGTTTTCGGTGGAATATTGTAATATTACTAAAAAACACTAAGGAATCCACATAATTTGGAATACTACATTCACTTCCAGCTCAGCTGTCTTTTTGTAATCATATTCTCAATATCGAAATACTGAGACATCATACGAACGAGACTAACTCATCCTTGCTGGAAGCACATCTCCCCATTTATCTTTCCTTTGTAAATCCCTGAACATGATAATATGGTTCAAGCCCTACGCATGATGGAATGCTATTGTTATTGTATCATTCAGTTATAGGTAGACATACGTTAAGCAATTTATGAGAATATTGTATCAACCACAAACAACCCATCAAATAAGGGATAATGGTGACAATAAATTACTTGTTTGAGTATAATCACAGTAATATTGTCAAAGGAAAACCAAACAGAATTGTTGCATGCCTCTGATATATAAGTATGTACGGCAAGTTACTCTGCATCTGAATAAACCTTGGATTCATTTTCCAGGGTATTTTATTTTAAGGCAAAATTGCAATGAAACACCACATTCTCATAACAAATGATGGTCGAAGTGGACTTTACTGGTTGCACTTACTCTGTTGACCATGAAGGAGCACCTAACCCTAATTGATTGTAATGGTGTGCTTGACTGTGAAGGGGATCCAAGGACTAAGGATTGAGTTGGGCTTTACCTACATTTACCCTATCACAACTAACAATAACGATCGATAAGACAGGCGTGATCTGTTAAGCAAGAGTTTGAGTATGCTCTTGGCCAGTCAACTCTACAAAAAGGCTGTGCTGGGAAAACTGCATTCTTGTGCAAACTTTCTATTTTCAAATTTTCAAATGTACTCACTACCCCTTCAAAAATAGCATCATACAATTGATGACATTATCAAGTTGTGAGGGTATCTTTGCAGACATGACGTCAAGATGGAGCAATGTTTTATTGTAACAATTATGAATTGTTCACTGAGAATTTTCAAGCAGATATCTTATGTATAGTGTTATACTTCATGACATTTCCAGTGGCTTGTTGCAGTCTCTGAACATTTTATCAATATTGTGTGTTTTTTCCATCTGACTAAATTATAACCAGAGCAGAAAAAAACCCTCTTACCATACATCTGGGTTTCTCGTGGCGAGTCTCATGGTGTAAAAGAAAGCTGCAGCAGCTCCCACACCAGTCGCAACAAACAGGGGGATCAACTGTAAAGTAATACAGAAAATATTAATGAACATGGTTGACACTGATACCTTAGTAGCGTTAGTAGCGTTTTCAAACTTATTTCACATGAGAAAATCTGCTCATAAGAAGATTATTTATAACATCATTGCTTAATGGGTTTTTTTTGTATTCATACATTAAACTGGATATAGGGCAGCACTTAAAGATTGATGCACAAAACACTTAACTAAACATGAAAGTAATGCTATTTACAAATTACATTCATTAACACCATTTTCCCAAATACTTTGTTTAATCATAAATATGACAGTGGTGCAGACCCAGCATACATGACTATTTAGAATGCATAGAAACATTCTCCACTTCATTTACAGGCCTGGTGAAGATATTTGTTGGAACTGGTCTTCAGCAACCTAGTAACCAATGACAAACAGAATGACAAAGGATGGGGACCCTCAATGACTTTGTTAATGTAAGTCATTGTGTAAATATTGTGTGGATTGACATTCACATCAAATGGGAGTACTGCACTTTACCCGGGCGCACTTTTTCAGATTAATTAGCGCTGCTGGGGCTCGAACGCGCTTCGCTGGATTACTGACTTCGTTAATTAGTGACGTAATTGGCGGACGGTCTACCTCGGGACCACGAGCACCATCACAGTTAATGAGTGCTCGTTTAACGGGGCATTTGCACAGAAGTGAGGCGGAAGCGTGAGAAATGAAAACAAACCACTGCACACGTGCAATGGTTTGTTTACATTTCTCGCGCTTCTGCCTCACTGTGCCTGTGACGTAATTGGCGGACGGTCTACCTCGGGACCTCGGTCCCTTCCCATTCATTTTTTTTTCACGCCATTATTTCTTGGACTGTACTGACGAGTATGTATGGATCGAAATGTGTTTCAATTGGATATAATAGGATTATACTGCCCTAAGGTAAAGTCAAACCCTAAATAGGAATCGGAAAGGGTCCCTAACCCTACCACTCTCCCAACCCTATCCCTAAGGATCGGAAAGGGTGCCAAACCCTAACCCTAAGGATTGGAAAGGGTGTTAACCCTAACCCCTAAGGATCGTAAAGGTTCCCTAACCCCTAACCCTAAGGATTGTAAAGGGTGCCAAACCCTATGTATCGTAAAGGGTGCCTTACCCTAAACCCTATGTATCGTAAAGGGTGCCTTACCCTAACCCTAAGGATCGTAAAGGGTCGTTTGACTCTAAAGATGCAAGTGAAGGGAGACGGAGCAATTACCGCGATATAGCGAGACAGCGCAGTAATTGCCCCGTAGCGAGCAGTGAGGGCTGCGCCCGGTAAAGTGCATTCTAGCCCGTCAAATCAACTGATCGAGATTCGATTATTTAGGTGCCTGACTCTGAGAATGGGGGTTCGAATCCCGGATGTGACTCAACCCAATAAAAGATACTAGAAATTAGAATCTGTACTTTACGACTGACTGACTGACTGACTGAGTTTGGTTTTACGCCGCTTTTAGCAATATTCCAGCAACATCACGGCGGAGGACACCAGAAATGGGCTTCACACATTGTACCCATGTGGGGATTCGAACCCGGGTCTTCGGCGTGACGAGCCAACGCTTTAGCCACTAGGCTACCCCACCGTCCCGTACTTTACGAAAGTGTAATACCAAATAACGTGGTATACCTACAAACAGTCATAGACTTTCACTCCCTTCAGACTGGAATGTTGAATATTATAGTTAAATTTTACCGAATTATGGATTTCCGAACATAAGGCTTATCATGAGGTGTCAGGACACGATTTCAAGGGCACATCAAAACAAAGAAATAAACGTTCGCGGGAATACTTCAAGAGCAGAATTTTCGATTAAGTTATTCTAAGACCGACCGAAGAATTCCCTGAAACGTTTCTCACCGAAGGATGCGATTTCAAACTTGACATTGTCAACCCCTTCATGGTTAATGCCGCTTTAGTTTTGACCGTGCAAGCAGACTGAAAGATGGCGGATGTTACTGTATGCTACTATGATCACAACTCATGCCATATACATGTCCGTCTGTTGATTATGTTCGATATCGTATCAACGAGTCACTGTGCAACTGTTGATTAAAATTACATTTAGGTGAAGTGTATTTTTCTCTAGGGTCCTGAACCTCAAGCTGCAATGCAGGAGCACAGAATCCACCAGCCTCCATAGTGGGAAAGTTTCCAAGAGAATAATTACATATCTGTTTTATTCTCCGCAAATGTATTTCCTCTTGCATATAGCACGTGCACGTCTGCATGTGTACAAGTCTTCTAGACACAGACGTTATGGAAGTATCTTATTTATCAGCTGGAAGAGACAGTGAGTGAGTGAGTTTAGTTTACGCCGCACTCGGCAATCTTCCAGCAATATGGCGGCGGTCTGTAAATAATCGAGTCTGGAGCAGACAATCCAGTGGTCAACTGCATGAGCATCGATCTACGCAACTGAGATACGATGACATCCCGTTAGTCACCTATTACGACAAGCATGGGGTACTAAAGATGTTTGCATTTCTAACCCGGATCTTCACGGAGACAGTGCAAGGAAAACAATGACAAAAACAATTCCTACAATAACGGTGTTTTTAAGAAATATAATAGCAGCGTTTTCTGTATTTGTCACCTGAAACACAAAAGAGCATTTGATAAAATATAACTGTTGTACATGGTGCTATTAACCTTCCAAATAAAATAATTTCAAGACGATGGCTTAGTGCCAGTATCAAACATATGGTACCTTTCAACATCATACCGATGTCGGGTTTTAACAGCTGTACAGTGGCTAAACTTGGAACACAGGCGTTAAACTAACTGTCTTATAGTCCCTGATCCATATTTTCTTTCCGTCCAGACCCTACTGTAATTCTGTAGCCATAAATCAAACATGTCTAAATTTTCCACACATTTCTGAATCTCCTATTTCAATAAGACGGGTTTTTTTCAATTTTAATAAAATTGTATCTTTCAGTGAAACATATGTATTAGTACCAAGCGTTATACTACACTAGTCATAGTCGTGACATCTACTGATTGAAATACCAAGTCATTTTTGTTCTTTTGTTGGGGAAATGAAAAAAGTCGAGGTATGTCGACAGTATTATATAATGAAAGAAAATAAGTTCATGTTGTTTTCATCTGACTTTTTAAATTTATCTTTTCTTTGTTTATTAATAAATCATTTCCTTGGACATTACTGAATTTATCTGCGTTGGCGGAACCAATGGGGGTTCGAACCCTCTGAAGCCCCTCCTTTCAAAATTCCAGGATCCGCCCGTGAAATGGTACCTTTGGGAGATATAATTCGAAGGGGTCACCATTCTGTGTCGATCAGGAAATGCCATGTACATAAGTTGTTAGGAAAATATGTTCTCATACAGCCTGGTTCCCGGGGTCTGCTGCGCTATTCGCTTCTCATAGTGTTAGCATTGACTGGGTGCCTATCTAAACACGTAACTCAAGCGCGCACACAACCTTAGAGCTTTTAAATGACATAGACTCCAGTTAATTATTCTCACATACAAATTAGATAAATAAACCTTTTTCCTTTTTTTTTTACCATAACATGTATGATCATATGGATATATGTGTTGAAAGTATTATTTATCCACTAGCATATTTTTATCTTTGCAAAATAATATTAAAAGATGCGTATTCATACAGCAGAACCAGTTAGAGCAACCGACTGCGTTCTGTATAATATAAAGTTTGTATATCGCAAAAATTCCGTCAGGTGTCGCTGACTCAGAAAGCCACTTCCGATTTTCAGCGCGTTGTTTTCATTTTCTAGCATTTATTACATCGATTGAATTTCTGCATCTGAACTATTTCTGCCATTATTATCGAAAAATGGATGATGATCTGGGCATTGACGGTGTTGATCCGAGTGTCAGCTTTTTATACAAGACTATGTGTATGTGTTATTGCATTGAATTTGGGCACGCTCTGTCAACAGGCACACGATGTTTGTATCGGCCCTTATATCATACTTGTATACAAACTTGTTAAAAACAAACAAAATGTGCATGCCGATTTGTTGGTTACCATTTGCGACCAAGGTATTTGTATGGCATCAAACAGAGTCGACATGGTGCTATCAGAGACCATATGATAAGATAAACACCAGTCTGACTGATCCAGTCTTGATTATATGTCTTGCTGGAATAGTGGGGATGACTGGCAATGTTGGATGCCCGGTTTTTGCAGTAACGGTCTTTGGAAAGATTTCCGCCCGTAACACCCGTTTTTATTTTGTATCATTCTATGCTTAAGAATAGGTGGTTTTTTTTTTATAGAAAGCCTACCCTAAACCCTTGAAATAATCATAATAAATAGAATATATTTCAAGCGTAGGTTACGGGCGGAACTGTTACCAAGTCTTTTTCTCAGATTCTACTCCAAACTCGAGCCTCCAGTAAGATTACAAGTCTTTCAGTGGAGGTCACAACTGACAAACCTTTCAATCTTCATGGAGGCTTCTCTTACTAGTACAGCTGACATCCTTGGAATTAGCATAACTGATTTCTGATTTGCAAATGTTAACAGGCAGTTTCATATTGTAGAGTGCAGCATAAACTAAACTCACTCACTACAAAGAAAGAAAACAAAAATGTATTACCATGATTACTGCTGTGTTCATTCCTCTAAAAGTATTTAACTCTCCTATCTATGAAGGATATTTGAAGTTACATGTGGTTAAATTGTCGATTATCCATAATCATATCATGTATTTTGTGAAAATTTCCACAGTGCTAGCAGTTGAAGGTCTCCCTGATCTTGAATAGTCTGATAGGCTTTGGCCTAATCTTTCTTCCCATCTTGAACTCCACTGCCCATGATTTGGCAGTTGACAGCATGTGTGCATAAGATACTGTTGTAGTTAGCCCTTTTATTTGAGATACTTTGTAGAATCCAGTTTTGTCTATTTTCATCAGCAGAGATTACCAAGTAACTTTACTGTCCACAGGTGTCTCATATGTCTATGTACACAGGCAGCATGTATGTAGAAACAAGTAAAGTATTTGGCTTAATCCAAGCAAACTGTTAAAGGTGAACTATCATCCTTCATAGTTATCTTCACAAGTTCATTTTTGGGTTCTCTTGTTTTTCAGTTTCCCGAGATCCAAAGAAGAGACGAGTAAAACCTGTTCAAAAACATCTGATACAAGTAGATTTTGGTGGACTTGATGACAGTGAAGAAGACAGTGATTTTGAATTAAACTCTCACAAAGGTGAGGATTTTCATGACTAGTGGGAATAGAATGCAGAAATGCTAGTGCCATCCGTTAGTGTACACAAACATTCAGCTTGTAAAATTCCATACATCATACTAAGTACATGCGACAAATTTATTATAACTGGTTTTCAAGTTACAAAGACTTTTCTCCATGGGATATTGTGTGAGCATCATTCTCATTTCAGCATAGTAATTAGTAGTGAGAGCAGGTTAGCTGCTATGTGACAAGAATGTGATGTCATCAAACATCAAACATTATGACATCAAGATATTTGAACAAGCCATACGACTTAGGGACCGTTCATAATTTATGGCCGGGGGGTGATGATTTTTTTGGAGAAGCATGTACAATGTGAATGACCTCCCCCCAAAAAAGAATAAATAAAAAAAATTATGTACAAAGTAAGTGACCACCCCTGCATGTCATGTACAAAATCAATGACCCCACATCAACCTTCCAATATGTTTTATGCATAATTTTTAAATATTTTTATGTATAAAATTGCTGAACACCCCCCGAAACGTGTACAAAATTGATGACCCCCCTTAAAATCATCATCATCATCTCTAGCCATAAATTATGAACGGTCCCTTATGTGGGTTTTGCTAAGATGATGAGTAGCCAGTGGCATAGCTGAATTCTTGACCCAGAACTGTAGTAGAAACAGAGATAGAAGGTATGTCGGCAGCATATGTCAGTCAAAATTCCTCAGTTGAAATTACAAATTTCCAAGTTCGTACTTGTGCAGATGTAACAAATGTTATGATGACTAGGATGTTACTGATAGCAGAACCGATAAGGAGGAATATGATTTTGGTCATACATTATTGCATGTGCCATGTGAACATGCCTCTTCATTTAGGAAAATACAGTCTTAATGTAAAATCTTGAAAAAAAACTCTTCTTGTTTCCAAACTTGTCTTCCATGGGCACTTTGTTTCGCATGACAGATAAATCTCTGATAATGTGTTTTGCCATCATTGTAGATGATATATTAAAAAAACCCTTTTTTCTGGAAGATATTCATCTACCAAAGTTTGTTCATTTGACATGCAAGGCTCCAGATAAGGGCCGTATCGGCGTATGTACGGATACAAAATATTCACAATACGGTAGGAAATAACTTAGAAAACGTAGCAGATACGCACAACAGCAATGGTGTACGGTCTTAGAATCATTTACAGACGTAATTGTTTTATTGTTTTTTTTACCTGTTTACACAAGAATAGCAATGTTGTGATGGATATGTGAAACGAAACACAAGATTACTGATACGTTAAATTCCATTCAGTACACTAAATGTACTCTAAAGGTTTTCCAGTACTCCTATTTTGAAAAAACATGGGAGTAAGCGCAGTAGTTGGAACAAATGCACGTGCGGTACGTGATGAGCGTTAACTTGGACCAACCCTACTTGTTCTCAGTGTTTCATTTAATGTGCATACCCCCTTGTAATACAAACCAATAATAACGATTTGAAACTATGATCGTTTGCTAAACAACTTTTATCCTAAGTCTAATAAAATTCTGATATTTAAATGTTCAGTTGCCAAGGTAAAATTATGAGGATTCACAATCTTAGTTTCATTTTATTCGATTTACTTTCTTGTTTAAAGTGAAATTCATCTGTACGTTTTCACTGCATACAGACTATAACTGTCGGTTAACACAGCTCTTGTGCCATTTGACAGAAAGAATGACATTGTTATACTCTTTATCTAGATGATGCATTCCAACCAATAGAGGTACCTGACGAGTCCTGATGCACATTTTTAATGCACTGCTGGTAGACACAATTTCCATTTGAATATCAACAGCAGCAAACTGAAATGTTGACACGAAGTGCACATGCTCAGTATTTCTATAGCGTGTATTTATATCCATAATACTCTTTCTCTCACGCTGTCGCAACTGAACTTGTGAAGTAAGTAAGGTACTTCTGTAGTCTGTATCAGTATCCATTACACTGTTACTCTCGGGCTGTCACAACTGAACTTGTGAATCGAGAGCAAGTACATATACTGGAGGTACACCTTACATCTGGATACAGGTACATATGAAGTTTAGAAAATCCATATATAAACAGCAGAAGACCAAATTGTTACAAAAAAGCGCATTGCTCTTTGGGCATTGGAAAGCCAGCGAGTGGGGGGTGTTGGTAGATTCTCATGGCGCTTCCTTCACCTAGCTCAATTGCCGCTAGCAAAAGATATGTATCTAGCCACCAAACGGTGATACTTTTAACATGCACCATGAACAAAATGTAATCAGCAAACGTATTGCAAACTTTCATTGTGTTCTGTATAGAACCAATGAAGATAGCAACTTTCGTGAACAAAATAGAATTTGGTTTATTCCCCAGTTGTCTTTGAGGCTGTATTACTGCAGTTGGTATGTATAATTGGGGCTCATAGCCTACACATACAGGCCAATTTTGGTAAAAATCAGATGACTGGTTTCAGATTTACAGGTGTTTAAAGTGTATTTGAGAGCTAGAAATCGTCAAAAACACACCCAGAACACGTTTTTGACACGAACGGATCGTTAGCCTGGGTCACAGGGTTATGTACCTTTCAAATAGTTCAGGAGAAGAAAAAGTTCCCTCTTTAACAGCCTGTAGCTCCGCTGTCCTTGTGTCTATAATCCAAACGACTAGTGTTCTGGAATCGGCATGATCTCAGCTATCTGATGCAGACAAACGCCTACCCGTCAAAAACGTCAAATTTCCTTCAATCCAATATGGCGGCCAAATGGTGCCTCTTAGCCTAATGGTTCATGCAGTTCAAATTGAAGGTAATCGGATTCCAGAGCTGCCCCAGAAATTTGGTAGTGATTGGACATGTAGTTTCGGAGATTATTGTTTTGGAAATTGAATTGTTTTAATTAATTTTGAATTATCTGCCCTTTGCTATTGGGCCTAGAGTCCTGAGTTTTTGGTGCAATCAACTTCAGCGTTGTGGGCACCCTGGTGATGTTTTGGAAGCGATTCTGAGCTCTGGTTTAGGAGCTAGGTTTGGTACAAAATACGGCGGAATAATAAATAATAATAATCCAAACGATTTCAGTAGGTCTCCTGCCTGGAGGCAAGGAGCCCTAAATATTACCAAATGAAGCATACATGTCAGATGTTATTTCGTTGAATTGAATGTAAAAATTTGTTTGAATTTAAAAACTGTTTGACTTGCACACTATATGCATGTGGTATGTGTAATTTGTTGTGTATGCAGTATCCATATGTTTCATAAGATTTTGTTGTGTATTAAGATACATTCCAAAATTGTTTTTAACTCTGCCATAACAATCTTTCATGACCTGTCATCAAATATTAACAAACGATTCAGTTCCGCTACAGAGAGTTCTTGTCAGTTAGAATATCATTAAGGAAAGTATATGCAAATGTAATTATTCATTTTTCATGTGCTGTCAGAATTATCAATGATTGTCTGATTTATCATATAGATTTCTTACCATTAATGTGAATTGCAACATAACAAAGTGGTTTAAATGGTAGTGATTTCAAGATACTGTAGCACTGGTGTTGTGATGTGAGTATGTTATTTGCAGAGGGTCACAACAGTGACAGTGGAGAGGAAGAAAGTGACAAGGGATCCAAGGAGTCCAGTGAATCCAAAGAAGTAGCTTCAGAAGCAGAAAATGCTGAAGAAGGGGACGAAGAAGAAGCAGCAGCTGAGGGAGAGGCAGAATCATCAGAAGGAGATAATGATGATGATGATAATGGTGATGATGATGACAGCAATGATGAGAGCAATGATGAGAGCTCTAGTGACAATGATGAAGATGCAGACAGTTCACGTGAGGAGCCAGCTTTTAACTTTTTCGGTGATTATGATGAAGATGAGGATGAAGATTATGTTCCCAAGAAGAAAGATAAGCAAAAGAAGGCTGCAGTAGATACAGTTGTTAAATTGAAGTTGCCAGAGGCCAAGGTAAGTTTATATATATAGTACTAAATAGAATTGAAAAAAAAAACATGCTAGTTTTACTTACGATAATAGTTGAAGGGACAGAATGTTAACAGATTTAGGTGTTAATAAATCATCTTTGAAATATTTTCTGAGTGTTATGTCACACTTTAACTTCAGGCTTTATTCAGTTCTGAAAGCAAACAAGCTGTACATAAAACTGGCTACCCAATTACTGGCTTCATTCAAGTTTTTGTTTTGGTAGAGGCAAATTGAAAACAAAGCTTGTGTTCTTTTTATGGTTGAGATTCAAAATGTCATTTAAACACTAAACAATATTAATTTTCAACTAATCCTGCACTACTTACTTCCTGCACTTATTGCTTATGACTCGAAACGTGGCTGTGCCAGACGATTGATGTTGAAAACGTAGACTGTGATCACTTCCTGGTTTCGGATAAACATCAGTCTGCGCACGCATCACTGGAAGGTGACATCAGCCACTTCAGATTATTGCTTTTCACACGCCTCGCAAGACGTGTGGTTTGCCAGCTCGACTGTTTTGTATCCTATGAGTTTCTGTTTATTGATAATAAACTGACTTTCGTGTATTTTCATTTGTTCTTCAGAGAGTGTAGGTATTACCCTTCTCTTTTGTTTTTTGTAGTACTGTTTTAGTGATGTTGTTTGTTATAAACACGATAGTTTTTCATCACTATTATCAGTCACTTCGCCATTCAGAACACGTGGACCGCCTCCATGATGTAGTGGTTAGAGTGTCCGCCCAGAGAGCGGAAGGTCGCGGGTTCGATCCCCGACCACGTCATACCAAAAGACGTTAAAATATGGTACTTGTTGGTCCCTGCCTGGCGCTCGGCATTAATGGGTACAACAAGGTCTGGTCGGCTCGGAGTCAGTATAATGTGTCTGAGTGGGGTATTCATGCTTCACTCCGGCGTGGTATCTCAATGGGCTAGCACTATAAAACCAGCTTCAGTCTGGGCTAGCACAAGCAACTGAACATACACATACACACGCATGCACGTCGTCATATGAGCGAAATATTCTCAAGCACGACGTAAAACCCAATTTCACCTCACCTCACCTCAGAACATGTGGCTTCTAGGTATTTGTAGTGGCTTGTTCTTGGCTTATGCTTATATGTTATACTATAGTCGTATATTATTATTAAGCCTTATTTCTGGCCTCCAGTATTTTGTGAGTGTTTTGTGAGGCGGTTGTTCTCAATAATGCTGTTATACCCCATTACTATTATAATGTTTCACCGTGTGTTCCCCATTACTATTGTAATATGTTTTCACCGTGTGTTTGCTGGGGGTTTCTGCTATATTGCAGTTCCTATACAGCACACACTGTATAGTTTGTAAAGCAGGGGAATCTCATAAGTGAGCCCTCATTCACACTGTTTGCATTGCACTTTTCTGTGTTACCCCCAGTCTATGTATGAATGTGCTAGTTGCGCTTACTTAATCATCTTCACACCTTCTTTTCCGTCTATGAAGCGCCAGGTCCAACACCCGACATCGCCTGTGACAAGCATCCACATACTTTCCACACCACTGATGTCCACTAGCTCTAGAGCGCCTGGCGCTCCGTCTCCATTCTCCAGGTTGTCGTTTCCAGCAATCACTGGATATTTTGATACCCATTACACACTTGACCTAGTTAGCAGGGCAGTCTGGTACAACAGCGCCTCCACTGTTCATCACTGCAGGCCAATAATGGCGATTTGAATCTATGATCGTTTGTTAAACAACATTTATCCAAAGTTGAATAAAATTCGGAGATGTAAATGTTCATTTGGCAAGGTAAAATTATGAGGATTCTCAATCTTAAGTTCACTTAATTTGATTTTCTTTTTTGTTTAAAGTGAAATTCATCGGTACGTTTTCACTGCAAACAGACTATAGTGCGTCCTCATCCCAGGCCAGAACGGTTCAATTAACACACTGCATCTGCAGGCGGCATTATGCGCCAACTGATTTTCAGCCAGAGCATTGTTAGTGCATTGCTACTGCACATTGGACTCCCATTAGGCACATGTATAACAAGGGGCAGTCGTTCGAGCAGTTGTGTTGCCACAAGCAGGATCCGCTGAATGTGTCCCCCCCCAGTTATAGCAGTTTACCTGATTTACTTTAGAGGGAGGTTGTTTCAAGAGGGGCATGGTTGCCACTTATGTTGGTGGCAATTCCCTTCATTTTTAGCAGTCCCCATTGACAGGAGCTACCGTCCATGCTTCGCTTATTTATAATTTGAGTACCCAAGCTGCAGTTTTGACCACCTGCCAGGAATCTCAACACGTTCCTGGACCACCTACGCAGTGTGTCTTTCCAGCCACTCACGAACACTTTCCTTGCAGGCTTGCAACAAGGGTCATGCGCTTGATGTTAATTGCGTCAAGTTTGAATGAAGCAGTCATGGTTCTGTGCCTCTAGGTATTTTATTGGGATTTCATCACTACAAACCAGTTACCAGGGCGAAATGATCGACAGTTCTCTATTCGCCCTTATTGTCTGTTGTCGGCATTGAAGACGTTCATGTGTTCCTCTTGTGTTCAGCTTGTGTACTCAGTTTGTAGATAGCGAACCCAAGCCGTCAGAGGCATGTAAGCAAAACCACCAGTGTTTTGTGGATACATACTACAGTTATTCATGTGTATGATGCGGCTGGTCTGGTTTTTCTCCAACATCTTCGTCATCCTCGTGTACTTCGTACACTTGCCTTCACTATGGCACTTCACTGTAACTGTACAGTGCCATTGATAATGCAAGAGTGTTTCTAGTGCCATTCCTTATCCACACCACATGATGTGGCCAACGCTTCGGACGATTGGTGCCAGGCTACCAACTCCCCACTCCCCGGAGGGTATCACTCCTACATTGTTGCTCGCCACGAAGCATGCCGATGTCGTGTGGGGAATGAGTTGTTTTGAGAAAACAACAGGGTATGTCAGTTAAGGAGTCACACTTTGATGAACTCAAGTCACTGCTTTTGACTGCATTTCCCTAAAGCTAATCTCGCGTTAAAAATTGTGTGGTCTTTTCCATTTAAGCCTACATGTCTTATATCAGAATTACCACTGAGAGATAGTCACTGTCTGTTGACTATTCTTCCAGGTGCAACGAAGATACCTTCCACAATGTTTTTTCTTCCCATGACGCACTCCAACGCTGTGTGGGAAAGGAGTTGTTCTGGGAGAACAGCTGGGTATGTCAGTTAAGGAATAACACTTGGGTTAACCAGAGTAACTGCTTATTACTGCATTTCCTAAAGCTAATAACGCTTTAAAAATTGTGTGGTATATTCCATTTAAGACTACATGTCTTATATGTGTATTACCCCTGCCTGATCATCACTCGCTATCCGCTCTAGGTGCAACGACGGTTTTCCGCCACCGCGGCGCACTTGATGACATTGACTGAGCTTTCATTGTTTACCTTGCGAGGCGATCCCCACAGATGACACAACATCCATCCTGCCTGTCCGATAAAGGTGCAGGAAGTAAGTAGTGCAGGATTAGTTAAAAATTTAGAAAAATCTAAATATTTTTTATATTTGGATACTTATCCTGCACTACTTAAGATAAGGCAAAAAAAAAAAAATGTGTTTAGGGTAACATGAAATTTATATAACAGGGTCGGTAGGTAGGGTTTATCTTTTTTTTTCTTACATTTTTTTTAAATGCACTCGCATATTTTTCATAAAATCACATATTTATGTAATATCAGGGACCAGTTTTGAAAGAAAAGAGGGGAAACCAGTTATGATTTTAATAACTGAAGCATCAACACTTTCTAAATTCAACATTTATGAAACACAAGAGTAAGTGAGCACAGGTCACATATGGTCGCCCCCAACATTGGGGAGTACATACGGTTGGAATAGCAAAATGTTTTGCCGTCTTTTTAAAAACGAAAAAAAAAGTTTAGGGTCGGGAGGTTTGTGATGGGGTCAGTCGGGAAACCGGAAACACACATATTATCTTTTTTTTGCCAAAGTGCCCACCCTCCCCTCTTCATCTTCATCTGTGGGATTTACGGCAATAATCTGAGGTGGCTGATGTCACCTTCCAGTGATGTGTGGGCAGACGGATGTTTATCCGAGACCAGGAAATGATCACAGTCTACGTTTCAACATCAATTCATCTGGCACAGCCACGTTTCGAGTTGTAAGCAATACGTGCATGAAGTAAGTAGTGCAGGATAAGTATACAAATATAAAAAATATTTAGATTTTACTAATATTGTATATGAAAAAGCCTAATCAGAGTGGATAATTTTTCCTTATCCTGACTCACTGCTTATCTCCCGTTCCCTTTCAACGGTTACATGGAAACTTGAATCCCTTTGTTCCCAAGAAGTCAAATTCACTCACCCGTGTAGGGCCCCACTTTCCCACCACCCCACATGACTTAGGACATGCTCTTATCACTCTCTCTTTCATCGCCCAAGCAGTTTCCTGGGTCCCTTTTACGGCTTATATCCTTAGGCCAAAATTAAGGCCGTGAATTGTATTCTAGAGCCTTTTGTTATCATAACAATGTATTTATTTACGTAAATTATGGCTAATTTCTGAGATTTTCTCACCCCATTTCAGGTGACTGGTTTCACATGGTGGCATGTAAACAATGCAGGCTACGCATCCCTATGTGCTCCTCTTGATTGAACACATTGTGTTCTTTTGCCTCACGTTGTGATTATTGTGCACATTTATCAGAATTTGCATTGAATAATATTATTTATTAAGGTTATGGACAAACTTAGGCATGACAGCAGGGTCACTGCTGACAAGGGCATTTCCCAAGTCATCTGAACGTGAATTGTCTCCTCTATTATCCTCCATGATTCTTACTATTCCTTTGTCTGCTAATTCTTTGGAGTCTCCCGTCCCTGCCACTCTTGCGGAGACAGCAACACAGTCTTTCCTTAAGAGGAAGTCGCCTCTTAGGGAGGGGTCTGATCTCCCGAAGCTGTCGAAGAAGAATAAGAAGTCGGCATCATCTTCGAAGTTGTCTATGTCGAAACCATCGTCGTCATCATCGTCCTGGTCTTCATGTTCTACGAGACCTTCGAAGTCATCGAAGCCTTGCGCCGAAGTTCACTTGTTTGCGAACGACCTGACGCCCGCTGACGAAGTAGACGATTCATCCTACTCACAGCCACTGGTTCTCGAACCACAGATCATTGTGAGGTCTACCCAGCAAACGACTACAACCAGATCTACAGGGTTCGCGAACCCTTCTACGCAGTGTCATCATGCGGCAGCTACATCGTCAGCCATGCAGTCTAAACTACACAGCGCCTCAACTGTTCCAGAAGGGTTCGCGAATCCCTACGCCAACAGCCAGCCATAGGTCGACAATACTCAGGAGGATCCGGACTCGTCCATCTATACTGAGGCTGAAATACTAGCTTGGATCGCTGACGGCCTGCCGATATAATTGCCGACCACTTGACTCCAACCTGGCGGAAACCTTCTGTATCAGGGACGATGACATCGATACTCTGACGGTTCCCCTGATGAGGTCCCGGACAACTGAGGGCGGGTTTCGTGAAGGCAACGAGGTCTCAAGGGCAGCACACTCCTTCGTTCAGTGCCAGGAGGTTCCCTCTACATAATGTGGAACAATTTCCCAAGGCACTGGTGATAGACGAAGACTACTCACTACTCTGCCACTCCAAGTCACGCAGCTATAGAGTTGAAGACAAGAAGTTGGCACAACTGGACATGACTACTAGAAGGGCATTCTTCGGTCTGGCAAGGTCCTGTGCCTTCAACGAAGCGATGATCAACGCCTTACAGAATCCAAATACCGACAAGGAGCGGATGTCTTAGTGCTTGCCACTCAGAGGAAGGATACGGAGTTTATTTCTGACCATTTTAAATTGGCGGCCTCACCTTACTACGTCGTCAGGGGCTCCTCGCATCCTGTACTTGGCTGGATCTCTACACGAAGCATCTGCTACGCAAGCCCTGGGCGGCACCAATGCTCTTACCCTAACTGCAACATCTCGTCAGGCCCAACGACTACCTAGCCAGCATCGATTTGCAAGACTCCTACCTGTACATCCCCATACATTCGGCCTCAAGGAAGTATCTCTGATTCCTTTATCAAGGGCAGCACCACCCCCATTGAAATTTCCTCGGCCCCGTGGCTATTTACACATGTAACCAAGCCCATTGTTGCATATCTACATCGGCGATGACTTGTTAGTGCCTTCTACCTAGATGACGGCATCCAGGTGCATCAACTAGCAGATCAACTCAGATGTCAGCTGCAGTTTACGATCCATCTACTGACGCAGCTGGGTTGGCTAGTCAACCACATGAAGTCGGAATTAGAGCCATCACAGGATCTGCAGTTCCTCGGCATCAGGTCCCTCACCACGAAGAATTGCATCACTGTCCCAGAAGACTGGTGGTCAAGTGTCCAGGTGTGTCTTCCACATGAAGGCCGTCCCCTCATAGATCTGTTTGCGACACAGTTCAATTACCAGATTGTGACGTTCGTCTCACAGTACCAGATCCTCAAGCCTGGGTTCTCGATGCTCTAGCCATATCATGGGAGAGCCATATCACGCATACATGTTCCCGCCGCCGACCCTGTTACAAGTTCTACTCAAGATTGCCCAGACCAAAGTCCTACGACTGATTTTGGTTGCGCCTTACTGGCCAGCGAGAACTTGGTTTCCATACCTAATACAGCTCCTGGGACAACCAACGCTGCGTCTACCAGATTGGCAGAATCTACTGATCCACCCTCACTCAAAGCAACTTCACGGCAATCCAGGAGGGCTCCAGCTACACGCCATGGAACATATTACACACTGCCTGAAAAGAAGAGGGTACTTCACCAGAGCAGCCAAGGCAGTTACACTGGCCCTAAGACGACCAACTCGGAACCTCAATGATGATAAGCGGAAGAGTTTCGACCAGTTTGCTGCGCACAAAGGATTTTTGGCCGTGAAAGCTACTCATCCGCAGTAGCAGAGTATCCATGTCACTTGAGAGCTACTAGACACCTGAAGGGATCTACACTCTCAACATACTTTGCGGCGATCAGCTCCGTACTCACCATGGATACGGGAGTCAAGCTCACCAAAGTGACTGAACTCGTCGCCCTAATGAGGTCATTAAAGCTTGAAGACCCACAGCAGAAGTTTAGAGCTCCAGCCTGGGACCTCAACGTAGTGCTACAACATCTTACCAGCGACGACTACGAGCCACTGAGACACACTACCTTTGAGCTGTTAACTCAGAAGACGTTATTCCTCCTCGCTACAGCTGCTCGGATGTCAGAGATACAGGTCCTCGACTACGGACAAACCAGATTCAACTCCGGAGAGCATATTGCAGTCAACCTGGGACTTAGATGGGACTTCATAGTGAAGAATCAGCTTCTTGGTCAACTGGATAGACAATTAAACGTCCCAGCATTATCTACGGTCCTCGGACCACTCAATACACAAGACTTGTCCCTGTGCCCAGTCAGAGCCTTGAAGGTCTACCTGCTACTAGGAGGAAGTTCAAGCATTTCATCCTGCTATCACCCGCCACGACGCCTCCTTTACTCGCCACGACTCGCTTTTGGAAGTTGGACACAGTGTTCGCCAATCCATATCTTTTGGATATCGCTACAGAAGAGGTATCCAGTATCCATCAGTTCAGGCCCCTTGTAGTAGCGCAACAACTCACAGTTCCAGCCAGACAATGAGAAACTCACCTTTATCACGTTGACTTGTTGACACGAGGCAACTGTTCCATTGCCACCGGCAGAGAGTCCATGTTCCCCTGTCTTACAAGATAATTCAGCGCATGAGTGATCTATATTCAGTTTGGGTAATAATCCTTACCTTAACATATGGGTCGCGATTCAGTTTGGGTAATAGTCCTTACCTTAACATATGGATCATTCTAGATAACTAGACATCAAGGAGTACTAGTTTATCTAAAATCCACGAAATCTATATGATTTACTTCTTTATTGATTTCAGAGAAGGTGGTCCCCCGGTTATCATTAGGATGTTTTTGGCCACAGTAGAAGCAGTAAGAAGAGTTCCCAGGAGTTATATCATCAGACGCAATCTTGATCTAACAGTCACAGTGAATCCTGGTAGGTTGCTGACCCACCATCTTTTTCCGTCGGATTCGGTAAGCAATTATAGCATGAGTCAGGAAAAGGAAAAATATGCAATTTTTATGGTAAAATTGATATTTTATACTTATCCTGACTCATAATCTGAAGGGCCCTCCCAACCATCCCCTCTCAGCACTGTAGGCCCAAGTGCAGGCTTATTCAGGAGAGAGTGATAAGAGAGCATGCCTCAGGTCACGTAGGGTGGCTTTTAGCGGGAAAGTGGGGCTCTACTCGGGTGAGTGAATTCTGACTGTTCTTGGGGACAAAGGAATTCAAGTTACCACGTAACCGTTGAAAGGGAAATGGAGATATAGAGATTATTACACGAATAAATGTGTCATATGACTTATATGAAACAAGTGTGAAATTTTGTATTTTTGTATTGTAATATACAATTTTGCACAAGTTTCGTATAAGTCGTGTGGCACACTTGCGAGTGTAATAATATCTTTATTATCCATTTTATTCATGTACATTTGTGCAGTAAAACACGGTAAGCAAGTGTGACTGCCCAGTTCATTGACGTTATGTTTCAGTTGTTTAATGACGTCACAGACGACGAAATACAGAAACAATGGTTGCTAGGCAAAAGTGATAAGTGCACTTGAGCTGATATGATATATATGACACTGGCTATGTTTCGCCATATGGATAATAAAAGCAATTATGGCATAGTCACGATAAGTATAAAGTGATAATTTTATCATAAAATTGACCTGCTGTTGTTTCCTGTTGTGTAATATTTTTAGTTGTTGTCTACTGTATGTTGTCCATATAGGATATTTTGATCATGTTGATAACTACAAACAATACACGATTCATTTCAGCTTCCACCAGTCTCTGAAACTCAGCTGAAAGTCAACCATGGCCACATTAAAGTCCTCATTTGTTGTGTTTGTCTGTCGGACACAAAGTATGTATCTGAGACATTATGTCAGGAATTGTCTGTACAAGTGATACATTATTACATATAATCTATTTGTAATTGTTTTGTGAAATATGGGCTTGTGGGTAAGTGAATGGGAAATACATTTATTGTCAGTTTCTTCTGAGTGTGTTACAGTCGTTGGTTTTGTTTGGATAGCTTCATACATAGAGTTGAGTTATTACAGACATCAACTGATCAACTGCTAGTTCCTGGGTTTAGATACATACACAGATTCTTTTAGTTCACCAAAGTAGAAGATTATTAATAATTTCAATACAGTAATGACGGAAAGATTTTTTAAATATTTTACTGCACTTGATTCACAGTGTAGCATTTAACCAAGTTTCTCAAATGAGACACAATCGTTACCACATTTTTCCAGACTTGCATTGTCACCTGATACAAAAATTAAGTCAACTTACCTACTTACAGGTTTTTGTGTGAATCTTTGAAATTATCTATACACAAAGATTGTCTTTTCAAGATACATCATTGCCTTAAAAGCCATGTTTAGGCCTTGTATCAAGAGTGGTAAATATCTGCTTTCTTATATCTACAGATGTGATATATAAATAGCATTGCATTAATGTTTATTTTCCTACTAATGTTTCAGTGCTGACGATGATGAAATAGTAGAATGTGACAATTGTGGGGTGTCTGTACATGAAGGTAACATTCTCAGCCATTTACCTAGACCCATGAAATCTGCCCACCAGGGATTTCTAAGTAACATATTGTATTGTTATTTGTAGTACTGATTAGATTTTTTGTAGCCTAATTTGATACTTTGTGTAACCTAATGAGAAAAGATTGCTTCATGAGTGGACTAAAATGTTTTTGAATAAGACTAAGAAACAACATCATGTATTCCTCAACCTCAGGTCATCAGGTGGTTTGTCGTCAGTCATGACTTTCTCAAGCACTCAACCTAACATGTAAACATTGTAATCAACCTGTGCTTATTCTAGCTAGAACTTACCAACAGTCACTGGATCACTGACTGAACTGGTTGTAGTATATTGTGGTTTATTCCAGGTTGCTATGGTATCAGTGAGAGTCAGTCTGCTGCCAGCACCGAGTCATCTGCAAGCACGGAGCCATGGTTCTGTGATGCTTGCAAGGCTGGAGTGAAACCTGTATGTCAACATATATACTGCGGATGCATTGTAGTATTTACAGTATTTTATACCAAGGCCTCCGTAATATCTAAACGTTTACTATTAGGGTTATGACATAGACCCCTTGACTAACAGTAAAGTGAATGCTATACTGATGTACAAAGATTCCAAAGTACTGGTTATGTTGATAATGTCTAAAGTAATTGAACACCCAGTTTGAATGATGAGACTGAATTGCTGTGGGCATAGGTTTCAAGGCCGTGTTTTCTTTCAACAGCACTGTGAGCTGTGTCCAAACTTTGGTGGAATATACAAGGAAACAGATGCTGGCAAGTAAGAACAACCTCTCTTGAACAATACGAAAGTTGAGATACACATTTATTCCAAAAGGAGATCACACTTCGCCTGGTGGTAAAAGAATCTATGTGGCTGAAATTGTGCCATTGCAACCTCAAGTGTTCACTCACTCTGCAGAGTTGTTTCCCTTAGTGTTAGTTGGGCAGAGTTGTTTCCCTTATCTGTGTCAGGATCTTTGGTAATTTTCAGATTTATCCTAATGTTTACCACTGCTGATGTTTCGACATCATTTATATTTCTACTAATACTGCTGCAACAATCTAAATTTCTAAGCTTATCCTATGTCATGTTCCCCTTTGCCCTTGACCGTAGAGTGGACACAACCTGGAACAAGAGTTTCCAGCCTTAAGTGCCACCTCGTCTGAGTATACTTCAGTTCCATCTATTGGAATTAAGATAGAGCATACCTTGATTACCTTATCCATACTTTCTGAGACCCTGCCTTCAACTGTGGCAATCCCTCTTGAATTGTCATCCCTCCAGCAATTTACAATCCATCCTTCATATAGACTTCTGATCCAGAATGCACAACATGAGATTGGATAAGTTTAGAAAGCTTATCTGTAAATTGTATATTTATAATACTTATCCTATCTCACGCGATGGAGATCCACTTGACCGACCCTGCTACACAGATTACAACATAGGTTCGGCTCCATGACTAGGGGAGCACAGTAAGGAGTCGCATGGTCAGCCAAGCAATGCACGCTTTGCATGGATACTTATGACTGTGTAGAACAATGCTTGGATGAGGTGGTACTAGGAATTGGAAACTTTTGTTCAAAGTCGTTTCCACTCTGCAAACAAAGGCCAAGAAGGATGTGCCCAATGTGAGAGAGGATACGTGTTATGAATATACAGTTTATAGCTAAAACTTACAATTTCTTACTTATTGTCTTACCATTTTCTGTTGTAGATGGGTGCACCTTGTGTGTGCTTTGTATACCCCTGGTGTGGCGTTTGGAGATGTTGACAAGCTCAGTCCTGTCACGCTGTTTGAGATGCCCTATGTGCGATGGGGAGCAAGGGTGAGAGGATATTTTATGAAAATATTGAATAGAATTAACTTCACTACCTAAGAGAAATATGAAATGTAGTAAGATCTTGTGTTATGGGTGGTCAGAGGTGAAAACCCCGCAATTCTGATAAATTGTGATGGAGTATTTAACCAACCTATTGTCATTACAGGAGTGTGCACTGTGTGAAGATGCTCGGTTTTGCCGGACCGGTGTGTGTATTAGCTGTGATGCTGGCATGTGTCGAACATACTTCCATGTCACCTGGTAGGTACATATGTTAAGGATAATTAACTCCCCTATAAATGTATCTGGGTTGGAAAGATATTTACTTGGTGTATGATTCACCTGCCATTTGTGGAATAATAGATTATTTAGATTACATTTTCCAGAAGGAAACATTAACCTCAGAATATTTTCCAACAAAAGAATTTAGCAGAGGGGAATGAATCTTCTGTTCACAGACACATTTGTTTAGGGCTTTGAACTTTCCAAAGTACTGTTAATGTACTACCTTTGTAATTTGTTATAAGGGTTATAACATTTATAAAGTTTATACAGTTAACTACTGTTGCAAGTTGCTAATCAATTATCAGTCTTTCATGAACATTTAGCATTTGGAAGAACATGCGTAAATGACATTATTTTCTTAAAGATAGCAACGTCTTGTTTGTAATTATGTTTCATTGCTACTTCTTTCTCCTTTATAAAAGTGCCAATGTATTTAACTTTCATGCAGTTTTGATGATTATTGGATTATTCCGATTCTGATTCTGATGATGGTTGTGTATGTTTCAGTGCTCAGAGAGAAGGTCTGCTGTCAGAGGCTTCCCCTGAAGAAGTAATGGTAGTACAATTGTCAGGGTGGGATTTGGCTCTTCCATGTTGCACCAAGCTACTTCTCACCAGAATCTATTGGGATAGTTCAACAACATGCTTTCAGCAAGATATCCAGAATCTTCAACTGGGCCTTTGGACAGGAATAGATTGGCTTACACTTTAGTCAATATGAGAATTAGAACTGGTGCAAAAAGGGCAATAAATCTCACCCTGAATTGTGTTTCTAAAATATCTCTTTTATCATGTTTATGTTGTGCACTGTTAATAGCAACTCTTCCTTCGTGTCTTTCTGCTGCATACTCATACTCTTTTGAGAAACTGTGAAAGTTTTAGAGGCAATAAGAAAAACAACTTTAGCAATATCTTTTCTATTGTCAATACTCCACAGGCCTTGTGTTTTTTCACAAGACTGGGGGACACATGCCTATTTTATGTCATCTAATGATATAAGGCTGTATGCAAAATTGTATTGGAATATTTGAGATGATCCTGTCTATGCTTACCTCCGGCTCTCAATGGTGGGGGGCAGTGGGGTAGCCTAGTGGTTAAAGCGTATGCTCGTCCTTTCTGGTGTCCCCTGCCATGATATTGTTGTAATATTGCCAAAGCAGCGTAAAAACTAAACTCACTCACTCTACATGGTGGAGGCTGATTTAGCAGACTTTCCTTCTGGTTCATCTATGTAAATGTGTTACCTTCCTCTGTTTCGTTCCAGGACATTGCTGACCCTTTCTTTGCTTACTGCAAACTCCATGCAGACAAGAATTCTGCTCGTGCCAAGAGACGCAACTGGCTTGCCATCCAGTCTCATGTCCGGCGACATTCGGACAGAGTCCTGGAAGATGAAAAAGAAAAGGTGGAACATTCCGTTGAGTATAAAGTAGGGTCTCAGTGTCTGTTGTTGTCTGGTGATGTCATGTCTCAACTTAATCTCACTTCAGTAGTTTCTGTAAGGTAAAGGTCCTCTATCATCATCGTCAGTTGGTGTCTGGCAAGCTGCTTGTTGAATGTTGCAAGTTATGTATGTGTAGAGACATCATGTAATCATTTCTGTGTCTTTTCAGGCAAGATTTCATAGAAAACTTAACCGACATCGACAGAAATATGCCATTGCAAAATCAAGGAGGCCACCTTCCTGGGGTATGTGTCAAGATTGACTGATAATGTTTTGACAAATGTACAAGTATATATAGTACATATTCAGCTATTTCAGTCATCAGAACTTAAGACTGTAAACTTCCTGACAGTATTATATGTATAGTATTTTCTGATTCCAAAACAATTGTTACAATTGTGTGGTGTACATACATCATGTCCAGAAACATCTACAAACATTTGTTTTTGTTATCTCATCAAATGGTATTGTTTTTTACCAGTTCCAACACAAAAGTTAGTGAGATTCCTGACATCAAGCCCTTCAGCAGTAAGAAGAATGTTGAAAAAAGCTGAACTCATGGGCGTCATAACACAGGTGAGCATTTTGCAATAAAGCGTATTGTCAACAGAAAACAATTTTATTTGATTTTTATGTACATTTAACCTTGATTCCAGTTACAGTTCCTGTACATGTTTGTTCCAGGTTCATAACTCGTCCCATGGTCATGAGAAACAAGAAACTCGGAAGAAATTGCACATTGCTCCTGCTCTAACTTCCGACTTCATTGGCTACTATCTTGGTATGTGGATGAAGTTAGAGTTGTTTCCCCTGTGGGAATTCTGGCTGACTGAGAATAGGTCTGAGATTGTAAGAGACTACCTGATGAATTGAATTGTCAGACTTAGTGGCTAGTTCAATGTCATGTCATATCTTTGTACCCTTAGGGGGCCTATCATTGCTCACAATATCAGCCCTGGATTGTCTGGTCCTGACTTGATATTTACAGGCTACTAGTAGCTGGAATATTGCTTAAATAAGAAACTAAAATGAAACAATACAGATGTTTCTGGACAGGCACTGGGCTTGTGAATATATTCTTGTAGCTATGATTTTATTCCAGTGTACGTTGAAGATAAAATTGTTCGGTAATGTAAGAGTCATTGTGATTGGATGCCATCATGGAACCTGAGTTCTTCTGTCTGTGTAGAGATGAACACTTGTAAAGAGAAAGTTCTGCTGTATGTCTGTGTAGAGAGGAACACTTGTATACAGCATGTTCTGTTGTCAGTTTCTATAGAGAGGAACATTTGTGTACAGTTTGGTTCTGCTGTCTGTTTGTATAGAGAGGAACACTTGTATACAGCATGTTCTGCTGTCTGTTTGTATAGAGAGGAACACTTGTATGCAGTTTGGTCCTGCAGTCTGTGTAGAGAGGAACACTTTTACACAGTTTGGTTCTGCAGTCTGTTTGTATAGAGAGGAACACTTGTATACAGCATGTACTGCAGTCTGTATAGAGAGGAACACTTGTATACAGCATGTACTGCAGTCTGTATAGAGAGGAACACTTGTATACAGCATGTTCTGCTGTCTGTTTGTATAAAGAGGAACACTTGTATACAGCATGTACTGCAGTCTGTATAGAGAGGAACACTTGTATACAGCATGTTCTGCTGTCTGTATAGAGAGGAACACTTGTATACAGCATGTTCTGCTGTCTGTTTGTATAGAGAGGAATGCTCGTATTGAAAACCTCAAGCAGAACATGAAGGATCTCATCACACAGAATGATAAACTCAAAGATCAGGAGAAAATACTCCGCAGCCAATATGATCAAGTAAGTTCATTTTGTGGTACAACATATCGACACATCGAATTATCCTTGTTCTTTTTCATAGAGATCGTCCTTGGGGTACATATATGCATTTTCTGCGGCAGAAAATGTCATCTGACAGTTGTATCAATGTTTTAATAAAAATATTGTATAATAAATAAATTCTTTTTCAGAAGAAGTCCTCCTTGGGGTACATATAAGCATTAAAATGTCCATTTTAAATCCTACGACAGTTGTAACTATATTTTTAATAAAATATTTACAAAACAAAAAACTCGTTTTGTCTTGTGAGACCACCCCTACAGGGCCCCACCGGACCAACACAGCCAAGAGCAGGTAACTCTCGCCGTCTACCTCGTACCTCACTTTTCATGCTGTCGTTCTGTTGAATAGACGTGCGTGGTGTTCGTTTCGAGTTTGCTCTCCTACCGATACGATGAGTGTAAAAGAGTCTCAATCTGTATGTATGGTTCCTTTCTCACGCACGGCGCTAGATGGACGCCATATGTGGATATTTTCATTCATCTTTTGTTGTAACTTTGCCGTGGGTTCTCTGTTTTCCAGCCATGTGGCAGGCAAAATGGCATGGACCGCCGATCGTGGTTTCCTTGCTATATGTTCTTGGTAGCTTGTAGTAGGAGTTCATATATTATGTTTGCATATTATATGGTAGGCTTGCCTAAATTCTCTTTCTTTCAGCCGAATTTGTGGTAAGTCGTTGTTGAGTAATTTTGATAGTGTTCGCTTCAGATCACTAAACTTTACTCTATCACTAGTACACGCAGGGGTGGCTAGCCTTTTTCTGCTTTGCATTGTATGTTTAGTATTTAAATGGCTGTAGCTTGTAGCATTTATATATCGCCCGCGGCGGATTATTCTTGCTATTACTTGTGTTTATGTGTTTGCTGCTTCACAGTTCCTGCTAGTAACACTGGCGTGGTTCTGTTTGTTGCAGTTTAAGCCCTGTGCGTTGTGCCATGCACACTACCGCCACAGGATGGTTATAAAGTGTGCCTCCGGTGTTTAGCCGAGGACGCTCACGACGATCAAGGATGCTCATAATAAACGCCTTTGCGGCCAATATTCCTGTTACATTATTTTGTATTATGATACATATTTCATACGCTTTACACAACGTGGCTCATAGGCATAGGCCGAGGTTGTGTTTTTTTGTCTGGGTTTCTGCCTCCACGCCAAGATTCTTTCCGACACGCAGATTTTATGTTTTTCACTAATCTGCTTTCAGGCGGGGATAATATTTGATAAAAGGTTTCTAAGGAAATCCCTTTATCGCTTCCCCAAAACAATGTTGCTGACTTAAATATGACTCAATTTGCTTCACTATTGCAGCAACATATTCTTCAACATAATGTCAATTCGATGATTGATAGCGTGATGTCCGGGCTCCGTAAGGAGCTCGCTCGCAAAGTGTTGATCTCGGCTGTAAGTTCACCAGGTGTCGCCTGTGGTGAAATTCCCGCCCGATTGACACGGTGCTGTCTGGGTTCCGCAAAGGAGCTCAGCACGCCTGTCGTCGGGGTGGATCGACGCATCTGGGGTTACTGCGCCCGGTGCTCTGGCTCGAGAACGCCCTCCCCCAGGCAGCTTGATCCTGGCTTCGCTCAGGTGATGGTGTGCCTTCGCACCTTGTGGCGACCCAGCTTCGGGCTCAGGTTCGCCGCGGGCTTCGGCGCCGGCGATGCAGGTTTTGCCCTGTCTTCGCCTGGTGCCCTGACTGGCGGTCGCCTGGCGCAGACCAGCTCGGGGACACCTCGGCCTTCGGCACCTTGTGGCGACATAGCTTCGGCTCAGGTTCGCCACGGCGCCTGGCGCGGCGATGCAGGTTTCACCCCTGCAGGTTTTGCCCTGGTGCCCTGACTGGCGGTCGCCCTGGCGCCGACCAGCTCGGGGACACCTCGGCGCCACGCGTGGTCAGTCGGGGTTGCCGGAAACCTGTATATCGGCAGGTTCCTCTCGGCGCTCGGTCTGGGTTCCACTGAGCTGCCGATCACCTCGGCGCTCCTAGGGTCTACCTGTGTCCACCAGGGGCAACCTGCATTGCCAGGCTACTCCCTTGTGTCTCGGGACTGCAGATCGGACTAGCACCGACCTGGGCTTCGCCCCGATGCGGAGCAGATCCCCCCTGTTAGCTCAGGTCTCGCCTGATGTCTATCGATGCCCTGGCCAAGCGGCGTTGAGTGTGACGAGCTTGCCGATCACCAATCGACGCCGCCGAGGTCTACCGCAATACTTACACCAGGGGCGCCCTGCATTGTCAGGCCACTCCCATGTGTTTAACGGATCGGGGTTCGAACTCGAACACCGACCCGAGCGCCACTGACGCACCATAACATGTGTATTCTGTATGGGTATTTATATAGCTTATAGGCTATAGTTTTCTCTATAAGTACCTGAAATTACGAGGGCCTTTTGATGATCACTTTTGGAACAAGCCGCTGATTGCACAACTAAATCTGATTACCTCAATCCGCGAGTCTTGAGCGGCTCACACCATGAAGGGCATTAGAACAGAGGTTACGTCTGGGAAGATATGACGGGAGTAACCTCTGTGGGAAGAATAGCTACTCCCTTGTGTCTCGGGACTGCAGATCGGACTAGCACCGACCTGGCTTCCCGGCCCGATGCGGAGCAGATCCAGGCTGTTAGCTCAGGTCGGCCTGATGTCTATCGATGCCCTGGCCAAGCGGCCGCTGAGTGTGACGAAGCTGCCGATCACCTCGACGCCGAGGTCTACCGTGCACTTACACCAGGGGAGCCCTGCATTGTCAGGCCACTCCATGTGTGGGGATCGGGTTCGAACTCGAACCGCCGACCCGAAAGCACTGACGCACATACATGTGTATGTATGGGTATTTATATAGCTATAGGCTATGTTTGACTATACGCAGTGCGCTTTTGAGAGTACTTGGGAAACCTGATTTATCAGGCTACTCCTACGTCGGGATCGGGTTCGGTCTAGAACAGCTGAGCTTCGCTCTGCGGATTCTCTGAACCCGCGGGTAGCCGACCCAGGCTTCGCACTGGTAGGGCTTAGATTCCCGACTCCGTAGTTCAGGTCTCGCCTGATGTCTATCGACGATATTGACCTAGATGCCATCGAGTGTGCCGGGTGTGACTGTCACCTCGCCAGCCCGAGGTCTGTCTGAGTGCTTGTGAAACCTTGATTGTCAGGCTTCTCACATGTGCCTCGGAATCGGGTTCAGGCTCGCGTTACAGTGGACAAGTCGATTTGAGCTTCGCTCATTTCGCTACTTTGAACTTACCACTAAGTAGGTTCGTCCCTGAGGGCAAGTGCGAGATAGAATCGCCGGTTGTGTTGCCTCAGGTGTTGTCCATGTCGACTACCCGAACCGTTGGAGTTCGCCTCCCGGAGGGAAGCCTGCTTCCAGCACGGCATCCGGGACAAGGCCTCACACTCTCCCTTAAGTCTGCCGTTCTTTCCCCTTCACAGCTCAACGCTGTATGCTCCACTCGGCGCATCTCTCAGCGCTGCTGAGGGAGCTGGTGGAAAGGGGAGAGAGCGCCGGTGGAATTTTTCGTCGGCGACTCTGGGCGGCATCTGACGGGGGCAACTCTCATCTGGCTAGGGACTGCATTGTAGCTGTGCCAGTCAAATGATGAGGGCGGTTATGTGGGCATATACGCCGGGACAGTTTCGAGGAATACGGAAGTCTGTTGAGCTTCATGCTACTTCCTCAGGTGCCCAGGCATCGGCAAACGTTAAGTTGCCGACTGCTGGGGTTACTATATTCTGCCGCAAACACCGGCGGAGCGACACACTCCTGTGTCGGCTTCCCGGGAGACGGCGACAATACTCCGTGCCCAGATCCAGTCTTTGCTGGGCTAGGCAACCAGTGTGGTGGTTTCCAATGGTCAGGAATATGTGGGGTTTGACTCCACTTATTTCATAGTTGCCATTACGAACGGAATGTTCAGACCCATTCTCATCTGAGAGTGAACAAGTTTATAGAGGTACTGTCCTTCAAGATGGAGACACCGCCGCTCGGTGATCTCATCTGCCGAGACAGGGATTGGCGCACGCCAATCGACCTCGGTCGCGTACTTCCTTGTTCCATTGCACCCTGATTTCAAGATTTACCTTCGGTTTCTTGTTTGACGGACGCGTGCTACCAGTTTCGTGCTGCTCTCCTTAGGCTACATTACGGTGCCAAGGGTGTTCACCAAATTGAGGTTTATTACAGCTCAGATAGCCAGATCGCGAGTGCCGGTGTTGTCACCCGCACATAGGCTTACTGACTCATCGTGGTTTCAGATAACTGTTGAGTCTGGGGACCTCACGATCAGTTACTTAAACTGGGCGGAATTGTCAACCTCACGCAGTCAGATGGACAGACGCCAGGCGCTCTCTCGAGGGTCCCCACCCCTGGAGACACCGCCGCCTCTCAGTCCAGCCAGATACATCCCTACCGGGTTAGGGCGATGTTCTGGGTGACCTGCAGCCTCTTGAGACGAAGTCACAACCTGCACATCAATGTGCTGGAATTGACAGCAGTCAGGTTGGTGTTCGATCCCGCACGCCGGGATTCGAATTACCTCTTCGCCAGACATTCTCACTCTGCACGGGCGCCACACCTGAATCCTCGGATTCACTGGGTGGCTTGGCCTCTGTCGGGTATAACACACGGAATTCCTGCAACCGCTGCAGACACAATTCTGCCTGGGATTCGACACCCGCTCAGTGTGTTGATAGGTGGGCTGGCGCTGGTGTGCAGATAGGGGATTTCATAATCCCTATTCTGCGGACTTAGTTCGGATATTGGAGTTACTATAACCTCGCTTTTGGTTGAGAGCCTTATGACCTCCACCATTGCCGGGTACTCCATGGCTATTTCCACGCTTCACACCTCGCTCGATGGTGCTCTGCCTAGGCAGCATCCTCTCGCACATCGCGTCGTAGCTGGCATGAACAGGGTTCGACCGCCCGTCGGCACCCAGCCCACCTTAAAATTGCCACTTATTCA